CAATGTGCATACTGCACTGGTTGATTCTGCAATGTCGCTTTCTCGTCAAGGCCAAACCACAGGTCATCGCTCGTTCGCTCATTCGGTTGGACTCCGGCGCCCACTCTCTCAGGTCACCAACGCCGCACACTCACGCCACGCCCCAACCCCACATCTGCACGAAATGCCGCTTGAGTGACTGACGCAGCCCCGACCGCTGGCTACAAAACGACGACGGCGCAACGAAGCCCAATGCAAAGTCCACTCCTGCTTTTTGGAGCGTTTTTGGCGCGTCCGCGTCCGCGTCTCTCGCGAATGAACAAGCACGCTGTTGACGTCAACTCCAAGCCACTCGTGACTTGGCTCCAGGGTTGAGCGACGAAGGGGGAAGGGGCGGGAATGGCTCAAAAGAACGAGATCTCCAATGGAGCGCCATAGAGACAGACAAGCAAGGCAGCCTCGAGCGGGGGGGAACACAGGTTGGCTTTATCAGAGAGTAGAACGGGGGGGGGGGTCAATGAGCTGTGATTACCATCGGGTGCGCCTGGGCTGTCTTGAGCAGCGACAAGGGCAGCTGTGAATGAAGAAGAGGGTACCAAAAAAAGGTCGATTTAGTTAGAAAGTGGTATGGGGGAAACAAAGCGTTTAAGCCGGGTTTCAATTTCATAGGATTGGTGAACGTTCACTCACCATTGTTATGAAATACGACTGATTTGAGCATTCATGGTTAGTTCGGTTCTTGTAGTCGTGTAGATCAACCATTGCATTGTTCGCTTGTGATGTATCATTCGAGACATTTCCTGCTTGTCTTGCTTCCAATTCTGAGCATCTCAGCAGCGTTGCCTCTGATTTTTTCCTTCCTTTTGCCCTCCCCCACCCCCCACCCCTGCCCGACCCATTTCATTTCCACCTCATTATGTTTTTGTCTGTATATTTGACTTCTCCAACTTTATTGTTCAGACCTTTGTTCTGTTGCATCTCAGTCATTCAGTCCAGTCCTTTTGTTGTTTCAGGCTCAAAACCTCTATCGTCCCCCAATTCATTCAATTCATTCGTTCAATTCATTCAATTCATTCATTGGGCTCCAACAAACAATGGCCTCCCTGTGCCGAGTGATGAGTGGCGGCGTGCGCGTGCTGGGCAGATCAGCAGCATTGAGCATCCCGGCGTCCTCGTCCTCGTCGTCCTCGTCCATCGCCAATGCAGCAGTCTCAATGCGTCACTATCATCACTATCATCATCCCAATAACGCTTCATCGTGGTCTGGATTGCCTGCTGCGACTACGACTGCTACTGCTACTGCTACTGCTACGCTGGCTTCGTCTTGGCGATCACTCTGCGTGGCCTTCGCTCGGTCGTCCTCGTCCTCAACTGCTTCACTCCAACGCAAGCCATCATCGTCCTCATCATCGTCATCGTCATCGCCGTTGCTTCAGTCGACGTGCAGTCCTCGCAACGGCGTCGTCGTCCTCAATGCTGCAAAGTTGCACTCGTCGGCCGCTTCAATCTCAAGCTGTGGCGAACCACCACCACCATCATCATCACTACCAGGACAAGAACTCGTAGGACAAGAACTCGTAGGACTAGAATTACTGCAATGGACAAACAAGACTCGACTGGCATCAAGTTTGACTACAGGCTCAGTCCGGTCATTCTCTACTTCATGTACCAACCCGATCTCAAGCTCAACATGCAATGCTCAAGCAACACCAACACCAAGGACAACCCGGTCATTCTCAACATACACTACTATTAGTACCGTGGCATCAAGCTCGTCATCCTCAAACCCGAACAAAAGCTCGGCTTCAACGTCGTCCTCCTCGAATCGCACCACCTCAAAGGACTGGAAGGACCTCGTACTGCTCGTGTTTGCGGCGGCAAGCGCAGCCGCGCTCTTGCTCAGTGCACGCCGGGAAGCCAAGCTCGACCAACTCAGGCTCCAGGAGCAGCAGACGTTTGCCGACCAGGAGGACGTGCCGATCGGCTCGCAAGAGCTCACGCTGCCAGAATTGATCGGCCACGCCAGAAAGCCGCGCACCTTCTTTGGCAAACTGTACGATACCCTGCTCGAGTGCATCCTCATTCCGCTGCGCATCTTTGAGCTTGCCTTCCGGTTTGCGCCAGTCGTTTTTCTGGCTCCGCTCGTCTTCCTGCCGTCGAGGTACTATGTCGCAGGGTGGCAACAGTGGTGGTGGACGCTGCTTGTGCACACCATCGAGTCGTGTGGACCCACTTTCATCAAGCTGGCCCAGTGGGCAAGCTCGCGTCGCGATCTCTTCCCGGCCGACATGTGCGCCCAGTTGTCGCGCCTGCACGGCCGATCGCAACCCCACAGCTTTGCCCGAACTGCAGAAGTGATTCGCTCCGCGCTCGCCGAGCGCAACGCAACCGTCGAAGATGCCTTCTCGTACATTGATCCCCAGCCCGTCGGCTCTGGCTGCGTGGCCCAGGTGCATCGCGCCATCCTCAAGGCTGACGGATCGGTGGTTGCGCTCAAGGTGCTGCACCCCGGCATCCAACGAAAGATTGAGCGCGACATGCTGATTCTATACGCTTGTGCGGTGACCATGGAAACGCTCGTCCCGCCACTCCGCTGGATGTCGTTGGTCGAAAGCGTCGAGCAATTCTCGTCGCTCATGCTCCGGCAGCTCGACCTGCGCATCGAGGGCGCCAATCTGATCAAGTTCAACCGCAACTTTGCCAACTATCGCGGCATTCGCTTCCCCACCGTTTTTCCCGAGTGGACGTCTGAGCGAATGCTGGTCGAGTCGTACGAGCCGGGCGTCTCGCTCAATCGCTTCATTCGAGCCAACGACCATCCCGCCAACCTCCACCTCGGCGAGCTTGGTCTGCGCGCCTTCCTCAAGATGATGATTTTGGACAATTTCATCCACGGCGATTTGCATCCTGGCAACATGCTGGCACAGATGCAATTCCCGGCGTCCCAGCTCTCCCCCGAGGCACTGGCGAGCAGCCGGTCGCTCCACAACGTCCCCTTCAACGACGATACGTTGGACACTGTCCCGCAGCATCTTCACGTGAATGTACAGTCTGCCACCCAGTACGCAGAGACGGCAGAGATTATCGAAGAGGAGAATCCCATTGGCGTGCTCAACGACGACGACCCGCTCTGCTTTACGTTTTCCCTGCGCCCAGGTGCAAAGCACGCCTACCAGCCGTACCAGGAGACCTATCCCAACGGCAAGCCAACCAAACCCAAGGACGTTCAGATGCTGCTCATTGACGCAGGCATCGTCACCGAACTGAGCCCCGTCGACCGTGTCAACTTTATCGACCTCTTCACGGCGGTTGCTCGAGGCCAGGGTCGGGCGGTCGGCGAGCTCATGGTGGATCGTGCGCGGGGCCAGTCTGAAAACCTCGATCGTGAGGGGTTTATCAGCTCTGTCGACAATCTCGTAACACGCGTGCGCGTGCAGACCCTTGCGCTCGGCAAAGTGCGCATTGCAGACATCCTTTCTGAAATGTTCTCGCTGGTCTGCATGTATGGCGTCAAGCTTGAGAGCAACTTTGTCTCGCTCGCCGTCTGCATCATGGTTTTGGAGGGCATTGGCAGATGTCTCAATCCCGAAATTGATCTGCTGGACGCGGCGCTCCCGATGCTCGAGGCGGTTGAGGCCAACCGCGGCCTCACAGCGGGTCAATTGAGCAACACCCAAGCCGGTGCCATTCGCAACATGGCCCGTGCCTTCTCTGGCGTGCGCTGGGTTGTCTTCAAGGGTGATATCGAGCTCCTCGGGCAGCCAAGTATTGTGTTCCATCTAATGGATTGATCAGAGGGTCATGGGAGGTGTTGGATCTCTTGGTTTTTTTTTTTTGTGTACGTGTGTGTGTCATACAAACTTGTAGTTTTAACAGTAAACTGTGTTTTTTTTGGAAGGCAATGATTCGAAAGAACTGCAAAAAAGCAAAGCAGGTGAGGTGGGTATCGGGAGTCTTATTCATACATGGGTTTCAAAAAAAAATGATACAAGTACAACAAACAAATTAACAAACCAACCAAAAGGCAGTTATTGACAGGAATGCGTTGGTGGCGCACAACCCCAGGCGGCCGTGTTGGCCTCGTCGACTGTCAAAATTTTGCCCGGATTCATAATCCACTTGGGATCGAGAGACCGCTTGATGGAACGCATGATGGCCACGGCTTCTGGCCCGAGTTCTGGAGCGAGGTACGGCCGCTTGCCAATACCACAACCGTGCTCGCCAGACGCGGTGCCGTCGGCGGCGAGGGCGCGCATGACAATGGACTCCTTGATGCGTTCAGCGGCAGCCTTTTCTTGCGCGTTTTCAGAATCAAACATGAGCAGAACGTGGAAATTGCCGTCGCCAGCGTGCGCAACGATGGGGCCGAGCAATCCAGCAGCGGCGATTTCTGCCTTTGTGTCTCCAATCACCTCGGGAAAGCGCGACAGAGGGACGCACACGTCGGTGATGAGCGCGCTCCGATTGGGATCCATGGCTTGTGCAACCAGCAGACAGTCCTTGCGGGCTTGCCAGAGCTGCTGCGACTCCGCGGGGTCTCGTGCAGCGGCCACCTCGCGACCGCTGTGGTGCGACAGCAAGTCACGAACGCGTCGCTGCTGCTCGTCAATGGTCGCACTGGAGCCAGCGTACTCGAGCAACAAGACGGCAGGAGTCGCAAAGTTCTCAATGCCCTTCTTCAAGAGACTGCCGACGGCGGCCGAGCCCGAGTGGTGCGTGATCAAGCCGTGCACCATCGTGTCGTCGAGCATTTCGCAGCGGTTGAGCTGAATACCCGCGGCAGTGAAGGCCTGAGAGGCGGCCGCAGCATCGCGGATGGAGGGGAAGGAGCAAATGCCGACACGGATTTCCGCAGGCAGGCGTTGCAGCTTGAGCGTGGCTTGCGTGACGACGCCAAGCGTGCCCTCGGCGCCAATGAAGAGCCGGGTGAGATCGTAGCCCATGGAAGATTTGCGCGCGCGCTGCCCGGTGCAAACAACAGGCGCATCGTCCGACGTGGCCACAATCGCCTCCAGTGAGATGACATTGTCACGGATGGTGCCGTAGCGGGCAGCGTTGGGACCCGAGCACCGCGTCGAGATCATGCCACCGATGGTTGCGCCCGGCCCGGGATCTGGCGGGAAAAACAGACCCAGCGGCCGGAGTGTGTGGTTCAAGTCCTCCCATGTCACGCCTGGCTCGACCGTGCAATCCATGTCCTCAACCCGGACGGACAGGACTCGGTTGAGCCCCGACATGTCGAGCGCAATGCCTCCGCAGCTCGCCAGCGTGTGGCCTTCAAGCGAGGTGCCAGCGCCCACGGGCGTGATTGGAACGCCATACTGCACACATAGCCGGACAACAGTGCGGGCTTGCTCTGCAGAGACGACCCTGACCACTGCGGCGGGCGGTGGCGCTGAATGGAAGGACAGGTCGTGCACGAGCGACCCGGGCTCAGAGTCGTCAAACGAGATGGCGTCGCCAAGCAGCAGCTTCGCCTCGGTGACAAAGTCCAGCGGCAGTCCTGATGAGCATCGTGGACGAGCGTTGGCGTCCTGGCTCGACTTGGCTGGAGGACCGGCATGGCTCGGCGTGGCTGGCGGCACCGCATGGACGACCCTCCGCATGGGCTGCGGGAAGACCACGTCGCCAATCAGCAGGACGACAGAGGCGATGGCGCCGCCCCCGATGGCCGTCATGGCGCCCAGGCGGAACCACGGCTGCCCCGTCGAGGACGAGCGAAAGCCCGCGCTGGATTGGCGCCAAAACGACTTGCGCGAATGTTGCTGTTGCTGCTGTTGCTGCTGCTTGCTGTGCGACGACCCGGTCGTTGCGTCAAACAGTGCGCGCACTGCCGATGTGGATGCTGGAAGTGGCTGCGGGGCGGCGCGGCGCTTGACGGTCGAGGAGAGCGCGCGCGAGAGCGATTGCAGCGACTGTGATTGTGGCGCCACGACTTCCCGCCACGCTGCTGCTGCTGCTGCTGCTCCTCCACGAAGGATACGCATTGTAAATGTGGAGTGAAGGAACGAAGAAAGAAGCTTGAAAGGTGAAACAAAATGAACTTTCTGATTACATGAAAAAAAAAAAAAGAAAAGAACATCAACAAGTATCACACAATGGCTTGCTCAAAGTGCAGGCTGGACGGTGATAAAGTCAAAGTTGTACGTCTCTGGCAAGCCAACGTGGGGAAGGTTGGCAAAGGCGCTCCAGGAGTAGGCGGGGAGGGTCGAGTTGGCAGTGGTGGGGCCGTTGAGGGCATCAGCCTGGAGAAGGCGGGCACGAGCGTAGTTGGTCGCCTGTTGTGTTTTTTTGTGCGACGAAGTGGGGGAAAACAAGGATTAGTCTTTTTTTTTTTTTTTTTGATGCACTTCAACTACCCCTCAAAAAAATTCACGTACCTTGGTGTCGTAGCAACCGTCGGGAGAACCGCCGTTGGCAATCAGATCGTAGCGCGAGCAGACGGCGTTGGCGGGCGAGCCACCCGAGTAAGGATCGGTCTTGTAGCTGTTGGAGCGCATCAGCTGCTTGAGGCTGCTAAAGTCGACGACAGTGTTGCTGTCGCGGCGGAAAATCTCTGCGCGGGGAGCGAGGTCGTGGGTGAAGGAGACGCCGTACTTGGCGACCATCGCGGGGTATCCGGACATGTCGAACACGCGCTCAAAGAAGGGCACGTTGAAGCTCGAGAAATAGCCAGCGCGAAGGATGGGAGTAACGTCGGCAGACTCGACATAGCCGGGGATTTGCTCAACCACCCACAGCGCACCGTCGAGGACGGCCTGGCCGAGCTTGATCTGGTCGAGAGTGACGACCATGTACTGGTTGTTGTAGGTCTGTAAGTAGAGTAAAGAATGAGAGAAAGGACCAAGCGGGAAAACAAAATGAGCGCCAACCCACAAAACCCCAAAAAGCGGTTTTTTTGATGTTGCAATTCAACAACAGAAAAACCTACACCAGAGTTGAACTGGGCAACAATGTGGCTCCATTCGCGACCATCGTGGGCCATGGTGTTGGCAAGGCGCACGCGCTGCCAAGCAAGGAGCGACTCGGGGCGAACGAGATCGTACAGCGACATGTTGAAGACGTTGTTGGTGGTTTGGATCATGACGAGACCCGAGTCCATGATGTAAAAGTCGTCGAGCGACGAGAGGTATGCGGGGTAGCTCGAGAACGAGGTGCGCTTGGCAGCAGTCGCCTGATCGTTGAGTTGGAAGTTGTAGTGCTGCGAATGTTACAAGCCACACAAGTGAGGAGAGGGTGACATTTAAAAAAGAAACCAAAAAACAAGCAGATGGATGTGCATTGCTGGAAAGGGGGTGTGGGGGAAACGCGTGAAAATACCTTGTAGATGCGGTTGGTGGCAGTGAAGGTAAACCACGACGAGTGCGAGATCAAAATGTCCTCAAAGCCGGGCAGCATCTTGATAAAGCCAGAGCAGTGACCGCGACGAGAAGCCTGAGAAGATGGGGGGGGGGTCAAACACGCAGAAAGTCGGAAAAAAGGTCAGTCACAAAAAGAAAGCAAAACACTGAACAAAACAACACAAACAACACAAAACAACACAAAACAACACAAAACAACACAGGTCTGGTGCAAAGTCCGCCGAGCTCACCTCAAGCTGAGCCTGCTGGGGAGTCATATCGTTCCAGCTGGGACGAGTGGAGGGCTGGAGCACGTTCATGAGGTCGAGAATGTCGCCGTTGCCGTTGAGGACTTGGAAGGCAAAGACGTCGAGCTTGCGCGACGAGGCAGCGACAGCGTTGTAACCAGCAACAAGACCATCAAACTGGGCGAGGATGGAGCCGGTCTGGACCCAGAACGAGACCTGGGGGTTGAGCTGGACGTTGCGGCGGGTCCAAGCATCCTGCTGGTTGAACCAGTTGCGGTACAGCTGGACGGACGGGTCGGAGGCGTTCGGGAAAAAGTAGGTGAACATGTTTTGGTAGTGGTCGTAGATGCGGTTGTACGTGAGCGCTCCCTCGAGGAAACCGGCGGCGTAGAGCTGCTCGGCGTCCTTGAAGGCCGAGTTGGTCTTGACTTCAAAGACGCCCCAGCCGGTCGTCATCAGGCCGTCTTCAAAGGTGCCGTATGCAGCGCCAGAAGGGTCCAGGACGCCCATCGAGAGGGATGCCTGGCCGTTCTTGATGTAGACGGTGGCTTGGAGTTGCGCGGCGTTTGGTGTCGGCAGTGCGTTTGCCGTCGCAGCAGCAGCAGCAGCAGCGAGGACGACAGCCACCAGGGCCATCCAACCGAGTGCTTGACGAGTCATTGTATGTGTGGATATCAGCGGACCCTGAAGCACAGCAGCAAACAAAGCAAGTAGTAGCAAGTGAGAGTCGACAAACCGCAATACAAGTAACACGTATTGAAACCGCGCGCTTTGATTCAAAGATCACAACCAAAGCACCACCACCATCACGACCATCACCACACACACCCCAAACAATGCTCGGCTCTCAATGATCCATCTCTCTCGTCGGTAGGATCGTGGCTTTGAGTTTTGGCTGTGACCATCATGACTGATTTCGCATCAAGTGGCTTTTTCGTTTCCATCTCCCTTTTCCCTTCGACTCTGTGATCTGGTCCTGTGCCATGGATAGCTCGAACTCAATGAAATGGACTTGCGCCCCGAGTCTCAAGCAGTCGTCCTCTTCTCTCTCTCTGTCTCTCTCTGTCTCTGCATATACTCATGGTCATTTCATAGGCGAGCGGTCAAGTGACATTTGAGTGCTGCAGTAATGAATTCGTGACCTTCCCTCCTTCTTCCTCTTCTTCTTCCTTATTCACTTTTCAGCCACTTTTTCACCGGCCTGTTGTCGGAAGTTCAGACGTGTTCAGACTTGCGCTTCAATGTTGACGTGTTTTGTCTGATTCTTCATAACGAGCGACAAAGCAAATGGAAAACACTACTAACTTGAAAGGAAAAAAAAAAAAAAAAAAAAAAAAAAAAAAAAAAAAAAAGCTGGACTGACACGAGTTTGGTTTGCGATTTTGGAAGAAAACGAAGATCATCAATGATCATGCATTAGTAGTGCATGTATTTATTGCTGAGTGAGCAAGCAAGCAAGCAAAGTGTCAGTCAGCAAGCAATACAGGAAGACGAGCCAATACGCGTGAAGCGTTCCATTCGATATTTTGACAACTCTCCCTTTCTCTCTTCTTTCTCCCTTCTTTCTGCAATCCTTTGGTGGCATTTGATCCCCCATTCTTGGGGAGGGGGCTTTGTTTTCCGTATGCTCTGTCATAGACCATCATTCTGAATTTCCATTAGCATGCATCATCCATTTCCTTCTCTTTCAATTCCCTTTTATGCCCATTGATTTATTTATTTGCTCCGCTAACGGTCTTGTGATGCTTTCCAATCAATCAGCAGTCCTTTTTAATCTTCAACTTGTCTTTTTTATTTTCCTTGTGATACCATCGCGTCCATTCTGAACTCGAGCCAAACAACAAAGCGCTCTCCAGCAGCAGCAGCGTGACCTCTTCTCTTCTTTTCTTTGTTTTTTCAAAGTCGCTCCCACCTCAGCCTGCACCCCCCACCGCGGATTAGAGCGACGACAAACACAACCAGAAATGTCGACCGATCCCCATTCAGCGGCATCCGGAGCAGCAGCAGCAGCAGCAGCAGCAGTCTCATCGGAGAATGAGAATGGCGAATTGGACGAATTTGATCCAATCTCACCGCTGCACCAACACTCTCGCCACCATCACCACCACCAGCAGCAGCAGCAGGCTCAACCTCAGGGCAGCAGCAATAGCTTCACTGTCAGTGGCCATAGTAGTAGTAGTAGTAGTAGTAGTACATCATCATCATCATTGGCTGCCAATCCGAGCAATGCGGCTTCTGCAAGGATCACGAGTGTGACACCTGAGCAGCAGCGACCCGTGCAACCGCTTCAGCAGCACCAGCCACCACCATCATCATCAGCAGCAGCAGCATTGAACATTGAGCAGCAGCAGCAGCAGCAACAGGAAGAGCTCAACGGGAGACCGTCGCCGTCATCACTCACTGCGTCGTCGCCCGCGGGAGTGAGACGCAAGGTGGCCAATCTCAAGAAGCGGCCGTCCTTCCAGACACCGGCCAGTGGTGGTGCTACTGCTACTACTATGACGACGACTACTACTACTACTACTGGTACTGCTGCGGCTGCGGCTGCGGACGCGACCTCATCTCCGTTCGCCAACAACTTTATCATGGATGGCACGACTGCTGCTACTGCTACTACTGGCGCGCTCGCAGAGGCGTACGACCCGCTCAACGACAGCATTGCGATCAGCTTTGGCTCGTCAGCGACAAACATTGCCAACGCAAATGCCGCGGCGTCGGCCATGGTGGGCAATACATGGCGAGACCGTGCCAACTCGGACGAGGACTTGGACGACGGCGAGCGAGGCTTGAACCGATCCACCACGTTCAAGACGTCGTCGGGATATGGGAGCGTGTCCCAGCAGCAGCAGCAGCGTACGGTCAGTCGCACCGGAGGCCGCATCAGCTCCACTCGCTTCCTTGGCGAAGGGACGGGAGCCGACAACGACGACGACGACAACACTCCGCTGCTGCGCCCAGGCACAAGCCACGCTCCTACCAACGCGAACGCGCATAGCATGAACGGCATGGCCATGGCCTATCTTGGTGGCACAGTCGGCGAGGTCTCGGAAGGTCCCGTCGCTGCGAAAAAGCCTCCAGGCGGCCACGGCGCCGGTGGCCATGCTGGAAGCGGCGGCGGCCACGGCACCAAGCACGGCGGCTCCCGCTGGGCATCCGCACTCAAGACCATCATCCTACTAGGCTGCTTTATTGCTGCCGCCGTCATCTTTACTGCCAATGACGAAATGTCCGAGTCCTCCCCGATGTATGCCATTTCCTCCAACACCTCAGCTTGTACGTAAAGCGTTTTTGTTTTGTTTTTGGGTTGAACAGGGTGGTCCAATGGTATCGCTCACCTGTGCTCGGCTCACCTATTGTTTTTCTTGCATCGATGACTTGTGCTTTGGTTTAGATCACAACATTAGCGTCTCGGACCCTTACGACGTTATTGGAGTCCATCTCATCGCGCAACCTGGCCAGCACTCTCCGGACGAGCTGTTCACCGTCACGTTTCATTTATGGGGCTTTTCAGAAGGAGTATGGTCCTTGGCAGATACAAAGTGGGTTGTGAATGTTTCCACGGCCGAGACGAGCGGCGACACGTTCATCAACGTGGACAAGGAGCATGAATTCGAGGTGACTGGAAGTGTCGATGCGCTTCGGCTGGTGATTGGAACGGACTCTCCTCTTCCAGTTGCGGTTTCTGTCAAGGTTATTGGTCATCCTTATTTCATTCATTTCCAGGTAACGAGGGGGGGTGTTTGGTTTTTTTGGGGGGGCGGGTTTTTTGCTCTTGCCTGTGCCATTTCTTTGCGGGCTTTTCGTTTTTTTATTCTCTTTGAGCTGGAACTCACTTTGCTTCTTATTGCGACAGGTGGCCTTCGCCGCTACCATCCTGCTCGGAGTGTACGTGCTGATCATCTTTGAAATCATTCATCGCACTCTTGCCGCCATGTTTGGCAGCTTCTTTACGCTCGGCATTCTCGCAATCTTGAACAAGCGACCTGCTTTGACGGTGATTGTGGCTTGGATTGACTACGAGACCGTTTGCCTCTTGTTCGGCATGGTAACGTACCTAAATGATGTCCATTCATGTCCGCTGCCAGGCTCTTCTCTCACATTTTGTTTTGTCTCAGATGACCATGGTGGGCATTTTTTCCGAAACTGGATTTTTCGAGTACGCCGCAGTCAAGGTCAGCTGAAAGAGTGTCTGGTGTCTTGGTGATGTCTCGATTGTCTTGTGCTCACTCTCACACTCTCTCTTTCGGCTTTTCCAGGCGTACAAGTTCTCGAAAGGCAAAGTTTGGTATCTTGTCACCATGCTCTGCATGTTCTCGACCATCGTGTCTGCCTTTTTGGTACGGTGTTGCCAGACTGCATGTTTGGGTGAAAAATGCATGTCACTCATGGTGGGGAGGCGGCTCTGTTCCGTGTTTGCCATTGCACAGGATAACGTCACTACTATTCTGATCATGACGCCCGTTTGCATTCGGTAAGCCGGGAGGGGGCTTGTCGAACTACAGTACAATCATTTCGTTGATTTTCTTGCTCTCATTTCTGCACGTTGTTGTTGATTTGTCGACAGTCTTTGCGAAGTGCTGAATCTCGATCCCCTTCCTGTGTTGATCGCTCAAGTGCTCTTTTCCAACATTGGAGGCACAGGTACCGAGCGTTGTACTAGATGCTGGTGGTTTGATGATGTCATTTGTCGCTCACTGCGTGTCCATTCCTGTCCGGTAATTCGCACCATTGTTGTTTCACAGCAACGGCTGTCGGTGATCCGCCGAATGTCTTGATTGTGGCCAACAAGCAGATGAGCGACAATGGCATCAACTTTACCAATTTCACCCTGCACATGATGGTCGGCGTCATTTTCGTCACCGCAGCGTGCTATGGCATGCTGCGCTTCATGTACCGACACAAAAACCTCGAGGTGAACGATTCGCCCGAGGTCGCCGAGCTCAAGCGCGAGATTGTGATTTGGCGTCGAGCAGCAGCCCACGTCTCTGGAGCGTCTTCTCACGAAGAAAGCCACGTTCGCGAGCTTTTGGACAAGAAGGTTCTTGAGGTATGTCGGGATTCCAGTTTGAGTCGAACTGTTGAATTTGTTTGTTTGTTTGTTTGTTTGGTTGTGTGCTCGTGTGCTTGTGTGCTTGTTTGTCTCGCACCTCATGCTCACCGCCTGATGTGTCTCAACCATTCCGTCCGCACGCAGCTGAACGAGTACTTGGCTCGCGCATCTCAAGAAGATATGGGTCAGTGGGAAATCAACACGAAGCAACTGGAAGCGCAGTACAAGGTGCGGAATTTTCCGCTGTTTATCAACTCGTGCCTGGTCCTCGGCATCTCCATCCTGTTCTTCTTCCTGCACTCGCTCCCCGAGATTCACCTTGATTTGGGCTGGATTGCCATCCTTGGCGCGTTGGCTCTGCTTCTCTTGTCCAACAACCTCGACATGGAGCACATTCTCGCCAAGGTCGAATGGGGCACGCTTCTTTTCTTTGCGGCACTTTTCATTCTAATGGAGGGCCTTTCCGAGCTCGGTCTCATCACTTTTATCGGCGACCAAACGGCTACTTTGATCAAGTCGGTCGATCCTGATAGCCGCCTGACCGTCGCCATCATCATTATTCTGTGGGTCTCTGGCCTGGCCTCTGCCTTTATTGACAACATTCCCTTCACCACCGCAATGGTAAGTGTTTGTTTTGGCTGGTGGAAGAAAGGATTGTTGGTTGCATGCCATTCTCACACTTTTTCTCTCTCTCTCTTCTTTTTTTGATTCCCCTCTGTCAGATCCCCGTGGTTACCAACCTCGCAACAGATCCGGATGTTGGCCTCCCTCTTGGGCCGCTGGTCTGGGCACTTGCGTTTGGCGCGTGTCTTGGTGGCAACGGAACACTGATTGGCGCCTCTGCAAACGTTGTGTGCGCTGGTCTAAGCGAGCAGCACGGCTATCCAATCTCGTTCTTGAACTTTTTCAAGACGGGCTTCCCCATCATGATTGTTTCTCTCGTCGTCGCGACAATTTACCTGCTGATTGCACACAGCTGGCTCGGCTGGCAGTAAATTTTTTTTCTTCTTGAGCGCGGTTTTGTGTGTGTGGTGTGTATGTGTGTGTGGTGGGTGTGTGTATGTGGTGGGTGTGTGTGTTTGATTTGTGTGATGTCAATTGTAAGGAAAAACTTGAACAACATTTATTCGTTTGAATGTATTGGACGATCACGGTTGCGCCTTGGCGAGCTTGGAAAGCAGCCACCCTGACTTGTTGTCCTGCAGTACTCCCAACAATTTGTGAGACAGCGAAACAACAAAGCGAAGCGCAGCAATCGAGTCAAGCAACTCTTTGACATACCTGCAACTCAAAGCCCAGCTTGGGGAATGTCTCTGCTCGCGCTTGATCGCAAAGCTGGAACAACTCTTTGTTTGCTTTAGGATTGGCCATTGCGACTTTGCGGACTTGCGCTCGGAAATCGGCAAACGCAGACGCCAGGGCCGCTGCCTCGGCCCCCGACGCGGCTGTTGTCGGGGACGACAATAGAGACTGGCATCCGAACAAGACGAGTAGGCCATCGATGCCTCGCGCCACACTGCCTACTAATAGCTTGTTCGGTTGCTGGCCTTGTACTGCATCGAGATAGAGATAGGTGTGGTGCACCAGTGTCATCGCCGCTTGCATTGCGGTTGACGTGTCAAAGTCATTGCAGAGGGCGGCATCCACCGTTGCTTCAAAGGTCAGGATTCTGTCCAAAGAAGCAACAGGAGAACAGGTAAGCTTTCCAAAAAAACACAAAGACTGGCACAACAACATTTCTTGGCAAAGAACACGCACCGATCTCGCAAAGCCACCTCGGAAGTGCCCCAGGCGCGCGTAGCCGGGCTGTCCCAAGCCACTCCGGTAGCCCCAGCAGTCTGCAACACGGCACCAAACTGAGCGAGTTTACGCTCCAGCGCTATGGCTCCTTGCATGGTTTTGTCGTCAAAATGGACGGACTGTCGATAGTTTGTCAACAAGCAAAAGAGACGAAACTGGTTGGAAGTGTAGCTGCGGAGGAAGTCCTGTAGAGTCGGTGCGTGAGTACAAAGACGAGACGAGCTCTGCGGCAGTGCAAGCGTGTGTGCGTACTTTGATGGTGACAAAATTGTTCAAGCTCTTGGACATTTTTTCCTTGTTGATGAGCAAGTGACCTAGGACACAGCGAGAAGGGCATGGAGTGAGCGACCAGTGTCTAGTACACTCGGAAGTACATTGCCAGAGTGAACGACGTCGAGCGGTACCAGTGTGCCAGAAATGGTGGGCCCATTGATCCACCCCGTGATGCGCTTCGCATTGTGCAATCTCGTTTTCGTGGTGGGGAAAGAGCAGATCGATTCCACCAGAGTGGATGTCAAGATGCTGTCCAAAGACAGCGCTGCAATCATGATGGCAGAAAAAAAATCAAAAAAACACAAACAAAAACAAAAAAAAAAAAGCTGAATCTCAGCAACATGACAAAAGTTCGTCCCTGACAACTACCAAAAACTCCCATACCTGCACATGGCAGAGCATTCAATATGCCAGCCTGGACGCCCGAGCCCTTGGGAGAAGGGCGAGGGGTACCCGGGTTCACTTGCAGACTTTGTTGCTTTCCAGAGTGCAAAATCGCGGGGCGAGCGCTTGTTGCTGTCGGCAGGCTCGGTCGCTTCTGCGCTCGACTTGTCGGCGGTAGCACTCGGTCGGAGTTTGCCGTAGCGACTGCCGAACGCTTGCGTGTCAAAGTAGACGCTTCCGTCACTCGCGGTATACCCAAACCCGCGCTCGATAATGTTGGTAATGAACTGCTGAATAGCCGGAATGCTTTCCGTGACGCGAGAAATGGCGTCTGGCGGCCGAACCTGTTTCAAAGAGCAAGATACATCCACACGCACACACACACACAAAAAGGGTGTGAGGTGCTTGGACCGAGCGAGAGGTTTGTCACAACGCACAAGAACAAGAACGGACACCAAGTACAGCCATGTCCTGGACAAAGCTCTCTTCGAATTGACGCGCCACCTCAGAGTGAGACCTGTTGGTGCTGGCTGCTTTCGCAATGATCTTGTCGTCAATATCCGTCATTCCCATCAGTTGGAAGACGCGCAGACCGGCTCGATCGGTGAGAATCCTGCGAATGATGTCAAACCGAACATAGCAGCTGTAGATTGGATGGGGGAAGAACGAGAAAGAGAGAAAATAGCATACGTTGTCAGCTGCACATGCATGATCATTCTGTTGGAACAAGCTGTGGACGCCATTTCCACATTTGTACGTCTGAGAAAACTTGTCTGTGTACCTTGCGTGGCCCAGATGCGCCTCGTCGTACACGGTTGGACCGCAAATGTACCACGAGAGAGTGTTTGGAGTGAGATCGTTACGAGTATGACTGTTGCTGTTGCTGTCGGGACTGAGCAGTGGAGCGACGCTGCGAGTCAGTGCGTTGTACGCGCGGAGCGCTGCTGCTGCTGCTGCTGCTGCTGCTGGATGGTGATGCGGTGCACTGTGCGAGTGGATCCATCGAGCTTGATACTGAGAGTGCAGGTGGGACTGCGCCTTGGCCTGACGCAGGGTTGGAATGGACTGAGATTGAGATGGAGTCTGTGCTGGAAGCGCACTGCTGATCAACTTGGAAGTACCAGCAGCAGCATTAGTAGCAGCAATAGTGGTCGTCGTCGTAGAAGCAGCGGCATTAGCAGTCAATGCGACGGCAGAGCGACTCGTCGCATGGAATCGAGCCAGCATTGGACAAAACCAAAGAGATACTGAGACAGACTGAGAATTGGGAACTGAGACACATTGAGCATAATACAGTGTGGCATTTGCACATGCATCCGTCGTGATCATTGATCATCGCATTTAGAAACTCGCCCAACAAAAAACAAACCAAAAATTGACTGTGAGCGCGCTTTTGCAAACATGTTTTGGCATTGCTGAGCAAAGTATGGAGGGAACAATGGTCATGCATTCACGTGTGTTGTATTTTCCGATTACATGTCTTTTCAAATCTTTTGGACAGAACAATGCAAGTCCGACAAATCAAGCTGTAAATTTCTTATTTGGTTTTTCTCTTTTCCTTTTTCATTTCTTTGTTTTTCTTTTTGGTCTTTTCAATCGCTCAATAATTGTCCCGGGAACAGAATCTCTGGTTACACGGCAGCCGGAACAATCGGGGCAGTACCCAGAGCCACATCAAACGAGGTGAGCTGCTGAACAACCTCGGGCTTTGGCAGAGTCACTTCGAGCTCTTTGGTCGCAACCGCCACGGCCAGCACCAGTGCTTGATCCTCGCCAATGCCAGAATCCGAATCGGTCGTGTCAGCCGGCTTGGGGACCTCGTCCGCCGGCTCAACGGCGATAGCGGCTTCATTGGCGACTTCGGACGACTTTGTCAACTTCTCAAACAAGTCCTCGAGGCTCTCCTCGGCAGGCTTCGGCTTCTCCTTCTCGTCCTCATTGACTGGCGCCGGGGTTGCAGCGTACTCGGCCCTCAGATGCTGGGAGACATTTTGGCCGGCGCCACTGAACACGAGGCCAAGATCGTATGTCTGAGCGCCGCTCTGCTTCTTGGTCACGGTGGGCTTTTCGGGTGACTTGGAGAAGAAGTTGGCCACCTTGTCAAAGATGGAGAGTGGCGCGGGCGCGGGCTCGGCCTCCAGCTCCTCCTCGTCGTACAGCGCGACCTTGATCGAACCCTTCTTGGACTTGCCGCGCTTCCTGTCATCCATGCGGGATCGGCGCACAGCGTCCATGCCAACCTTCAGCCACTGCAGGGCCTGCGTCAGCGCTGCGTCGTTCTGACCGGCAGGCTGATACGCAATCGAGCCGCGAAGCGCAAACACGGCAACGCCACGGCGAGCAAAGCTGTCGGCAATGCCAAGCTCGCGGATGATGGTCCGAGTCGCCACGGCCTCGGGCTGGTCGGCGTTGGCAATCAGCAGGCAAAGAGGCGTGGTCGAGTTGATGCTTTCAGAGTCCCACATGCGGTAGCGCATGTTGGTAATGCTGTCGAGCTCCAGGCGCAAGTTGGCAAGCGAGGCGGGCTTGGTTGCATCCGCCATCGCCAGCATGCCTTGCCCGCTCATGAGGGCCATGCGCCAGCTGTAGCGCTGCAATAGCAAGAGAAGTGTGTCAGAGAAGAATGGAGGAAGATGGTCAGTTGACACCAAAACCAAAACAAAACGACACGGTTGTCGAGTTGTTCAGAACAATACAGATACACACCCCCGCCCCACACCATGCCACGTTGACAAAAAGAAAAAAGAAAGCCAAAACTTACCCAGCCGCCACGGCCACCATAATCCAGGAAGGCATCCGCGTGCATGGGACCGCTGGTCGTGTCGAACGCCAGGAATTTGAGGTTGTCCTTGCTGGCCGTCAACGCGTCCCTCTCGGCTGTGTGTGGAGGTCGGTAAAATGTCACACGCACAAGACCAAACAACAACAGCATGTATTTTGTCAGATGGTGAGTTTCAGCAGGCGCAATCGGTCGTCATAACATTGAATGAAAGGCTGTTGTCGGCGTTTGTTTCAAAAAAAGGAAATGGAGAAGGCTAAAAATGAAACCTCCATGACGTCGGCGTGATGTCGCCAACCCCTGTTTCACAACGCTCGTACGCACACACACACACACACACACACACACACACACACACGCAAAAGGCAAAAAGACTTACGCTGATAGTAGCTCTCGGAGGAGAACTTGGAGAGCTCGAGGCCGAACGAGTCAAAGAAGGGCTGCTGGGTCGCCAGGTCGCCTACAAAACCAGAACAACAAACAAGGAAAAATTCGATCATCCATCAGTTTATCGGCATGGCGGGCATGACGTCGGTCAAACGATAGAACAAGAGGCAATGGAAAAATCTCGCCATAGACACACGTACCGAAGGTCAGGATGGACCTGGGAGTATCTTCGCTGGTCGCCTTGAAGACGGTGCGGAGCAGCGACGGCGAAGAGCCGGCATCGGACGGATTGGATTCAGACGTCATCTGTTTCTGTTTTGCGGATGATGTTGTTGTTGGTTTGAGAAATGAAGACTGAGATTTTGGTTGGTTTCAAACTTGCTTGTTTTTGAATGGAAAAAATGAAGCTATGACGCTGGTCGTGCGACGACTGTTGCCGGATCGTCTGCTTGGCGAAAGGAGCGTTTACGACTGAAATGGCCTCAATTCTGAATTCCGAGATCCGCACAACCACTGCAACTTGAGGTTATTGTTGACATCTTGCAAAGCCGTGTTGTGCTTTCTGACAGCCATCTCACGAGCATCAGGACCTTGTGCGGCAGAATTGACTTGAAAAATGTTGAGATAATGTTAAATGTTCGGAAACGTAAAGCTCAGTTTTTATTTGCTTCATTTCGTTTTTTTCACACGCTGAGCAAACACCATGTCTGAGTCTACCAGCGACTTTCGCCCAACTCCGTCTGGCAACAAGCGATGGCTGCCCCTCGAGTCCAACCCCGAAGTGCGTTTGTTTTCGTGCTTCATTACGTGCTTCATGGCGAATTGCTGGATGGAGAGAGTGAGAGTGAGAGAGCGGGATTCGCATCGTAAGTCAAAGCCTCACTGTTGAACTAACTCGTCCTTCTGTTTGGTGAATCCAGGTTATGAACAAGGTACAACACCCAAACCACATGCATCTCCAACACATCATCCTCTCCAAGGCGCCAACGTTTCTGGGCTGGGTCGCCAGACAGACAGACAGAGAGCGAGTGATGACGAAGGCCTTTATGCTGTTCTCGATTGGCGTTTACGTCACTGCTCCCAACGCTGATCCGCTCACATCCACATCGGATGGCGCGATTCGTCATCCTTCAATTCTGATTGACTGATTGTTGTTGATTGTTGTTGATTGTTGTTGGTAGTTTGTCTGGTCGCTGGGCCTGCCGCGAAAGTGGGGCTTCACGGACGTCTACGGCCTCGATGCAGACCTCCTCGCAATGGTCCCGCAGCCCGTCGTGGCAGTCATGATGCTCTTCCCTGTCACCAAGCCACACGAAGACCACCGCGTCGCAGAGGACGAGCGCATCCAGGCAGAAGGGCAAACACTCAGCCCCAATGTCTACCATCTGAAGCAGACCATTGCAAACGCCTGTGGCACTGTTGGCGTGCTTCATGCTGTTGCAAACAACAAGGACCGATTGGAACTCCGTATGTACCTTGACAGCGGGATGAGGCGTTGCTCTCAAAGCGAGAGTTTTGCCGATCTGACCTGAACTCTTCGTTGTTGTTGTTGCCGGTTTTCTCTGGTTGTCTGGACACACAGCGGAGGACTGCTATCTGCGCAGGTTTGTGGAGAACGGCTCCGCCAAGACGTCAGAGGAGCGCGGTGAGCAGCTCGAGGTCAGCGAAGAGGTGACCAATGTGCACGAAGAGTGTGCCAACGAGGGCCAGACTGAGGTAGGGGCTTTTCGCTTTGTAGAGTTGGAGAGTATTGTACAAAGTGTTGTTTGTGATTCTGCATGTGCTTTTGTTGCCTGTCAAGTGGTTGGATGGTGTTTGAACAAGGGTGTCTGATCTCGTCGTTTAACTTTGCACCTTTCCAACCCTCCCCCCTTTTTATGGTTCCCCTTTCTTTGGCTCCCCTCCAACAGACACCCTCGCTTGACGATGACACCTTTTTGCACTTTGTGTGCTTGATCGAGCGTGATGGCTTCCTGTACGAGCTGGATGGCCGCAAGTCCTTCCCGATCAACCACGGCCCGTCCAGCCAGCAAACCCTGCTCGAAGACGCCGCCAAGGTCGTCCAAAAGTTCATGGATCGCGACACTTCCCAGGTGCAGTTCAACATGATTGCCTTGACCGAGTTGCCTCAGGACGCCGAGTGATGTTTGCTGGTGCTTTTGTTTTTCTGTTCTTTTTTTTTTTTTTTCCCTTTGTGATGTTGCTTGTTTCCACCTGTGTGTAAAGCTTTGTTGTGTTGAATGTCAATTGAACAAATCAGCTATCTTTCAACGTTTTCTTCTTTTTTTTGTTTGAAAATAAGAGTCAATGGCATCCAGATCACAAAAAGTCGACAAAAAGAAACCCAAACGAACAAAAAGGTCTTACATGTAAACGCACAGCAGACCAGAACAAGAAGCAACAAGGACATCATTCAACGGGAGGGGTGGGAGAAGCAAAAAAAAACTGAGGAGAGCCCAGACAGCAGACGAATGTGTGCATCTTGAAAACTCGCCCAGTTTTTAGTACTTTCGTGCATTCACGACATTGTTGGCCATGACCGTGCTTGGAGACTGAGGGACGGCGTTACTGAACGGCTTGGCACCGCCGTTGAGGCCGTAGTTGCTGGGTGGTGTGCCGAGAGCACTGCTGGCGGCGTAGGTGCCGTTGCTGCCTGCTCCAGGGGTGGTTGAAGGTGAGTATGGGGCTCCGCTGGTGGCGGGCGTGGTGGCGCTTGATGCTGGCCCTTCCAACTTGCTGAGGTAGGATGTGCCGAGACCGTAAATGTGGCCTTGGAACTTGGAGTCGTCAATGTTGTCCTCAAAGAAGAGCTGTCGCATCTTGAAGAAGGCGAACGCGGTCAGCATGCTGTCGCTGCCCGCTTGGTGTTGAGGGCCGTATCGCTCCACCTCCAGGTCGTCGCTGACGTCTTGCAGGCCGCCCTTCAAGTGCTTGCAGCTTCGCATCATGAACTTGATGTCATAAATGCAGGGGAAGTACAAGTACAACAAGGAGAAAAAGTCTGATTCTTCCGTTGGCAGCGCGGTGCACGTTAGAACCTTGAGCAAGTATGCAAAGTCGTATCCACTGCGAGCGGAAGAGCAAGGGGCGGGTGTGAAAGAAGTGGGGAAGGCAGCAAGAGTGGCGCAAATGGGAAAAAGAAAGGGAAAAAAGTCAGACACGTGGGTGCAAGAGTGCCACACTTTGTCGAGTATGTCAAAATATCATCAACAAACCTGTGGAAGGAAATCCATTTGATTTGATCGTTCAGCACGATGCCAGAGGGAATGAGCAACTCGGCAAAGTGGTGGACATCAATGCCGTCGGCTTCAAACCGCATGAGGCTCTTTAAGCGATTCCAGCACGACTGTCCATTGGGATGGTCACTGGACGTTGATGCTGAAAATGGATGATCACTGACGAGAATCGCGTTGGCGTGGAGGGGGGGGGGAGTGGAGAGACGGAGTGGACAAACGCAAGTCAAAACTGATCGCCCATTGCTTACTCATCACTTTGCTGTGCCATACACATCGTCTGACTCTTTGTCACTTGCAATTGTTGCAACAATCCGAAAACGAAATCAAAAACAATAGGACACAGAGTTCCCCGGCGTGGTTGTAAAACCAGTGGGCAACTTCCGATCGCAGGCCGAGTTCACGTTCCAGACCCTCCGCTGCAACGTTGACCGTCTCAAGCTGATCCAGCTGGGCATCACCTTCACTGACGAGCACGGAAACACACCAAAAGACGTGTGCACATGGCAGTTTAACTTCAAGTTCAGCCTATCGTGAGTTGGAACAGGCACTTTTTTTTTTGTTTCATTTTGAGATTTGGATGGCCTGCACCTGACACTGACATGGCCATTTGCTCTTTGGGGGCTATGTTCTTGCACTTGACAGAGAGGATACATACGCACAGGATTCGATCGACTTGTTGACACGCTCTGGCATCAATTTCATGCGGTTTGAAGCCGACGGCATTGATGTCCACCACTTTGCCGAGTTGCTCATTCCCTCTGGCATCGTGCTGAACGATCAAATCAAATGGATTTCCTTCCACAGGTTTGTTGATGATATTTTGACATACTCGACAAAGTGTGGCACTCTTGCACCCACGTGTCTGACTTTTTTCCCTTTCTTTTTCCCATTTGCGCCACTCTTGCTGCCTTCCCCACTTCTTTCACACCCGCCCCTTGCTCTTCCGCTCGCAGTGGATACGACTTTGCATACTTGCTCAAGGTTCTAACGTGCACCGCGCTGCCAACGGAAGAATCAGACTTTTTCTCCTTGTTGTACTTGTACTTCCCCTGCATTTATGACATCAAGTTCATGATGCGAAGCTGCAAGCACTTGAAGGGCGGCCTGCAAGACGTCAGCGACGACCTGGAGGTGGAGCGATACGGCCCTCAACACCAAGCGGGCAGCGACAGCATGCTGACCGCGTTCGCCTTCTTCAAGATGCGACAGCTCTTCTTTGAGGACAACATTGACGACTCCAAGTTCCAAGGCCACATTTACGGTCTCGGCACATCCTACCTCAGCAAGTTGGAAGGGCCAGCATCAAGCGCCACCACGCCCGCCACCAGCGGAGCCCCATACTCACCTTCAACCACCCCTGGAGCAGGCAGCAACGGCACCTACGCCGCCAGCAGTGCTCCCGGCACACCACCCAGCAACTACGGCCTCAACGGCGGTGCCAAGCCGTTCAGTAACGCCGTCCCTCAGTCTCCAAGCACGGTCATGGCCAACAATGTCGTGAATGCACGAAAGTACTAAAAACTGGGCGAGTTTTCAAGATGCACACATGTGTCTGCTGTCTGGGCTCTCCTCAGTTTTTTTGCTTCTCCCACCCCTCCCGTTGAATGATGTCCTTGTTGCTTCTTGTTCTGGTCTGCTGTGCGTTTACATGTAAGACCTTTTTGTTCGTTTGGGTTTCTTTTTGTCGACTTTTTGTGATCTGGATGCCATTGACTCTTATTTTCAAACAAAAAAAAGAAGAAAACGTTGAAAGATAGCTGATTTGTTCAATTGACATTCAACACAACAAAGCTTTACACACAGGTGGAAACAAGCAACATCACAAAGGGAAAAAAAAAAAAAAAGAACAGAAAAACAAAAGCACCAGCAAACATCACTCGGCGTCCTGAGGCAACTCGGTCAAGGCAATCATGTTGAACTGCACCTGGGAAGTGTCGCGATCCATGAACTTTTGGACGACCTTGGCGGCGTCTTCGAGCAGGGTTTGCTGGCTGGACGGGCCGTGGTTGATCGGGAAGGACTTGCGGCCATCCAGCTCGTACAGGAAGCCATCACGCTCGATCAAGCACACAAAGTGCAAAAAGGTGTCATCGTCAAGCGAGGGTGTCTGTTGGAGGGGAGCCAAAGAAAGGGGAACCATAAAAAGGGGGGAGGGTTGGAAAGGTGCAAAGTTAAACGACGAGATCAGACACCCTTGTTCAAACACCATCCAACCACTTGACAGGCAACAAAAGCACATGCAGAATCACAAACAACACTTTGTACAATACTCTCCAACTCTACAAAGCGAAAAGCCCCTACCTCAGTCTGGCCCTCGTTGGCACACTCTTCGTGCACATTGGTCACCTCTTCGCTGACCTCGAGCTGCTCACCGCGCTCCTCTGACGTCTTGGCGGAGCCGTTCTCCACAAACCTGCGCAGATAGCAGTCCTCCGCTGTGTGTCCAGACAACCAGAGAAAACCGGCAACAACAACAACGAAGAGTTCAGGTCAGATCGGCAAAACTCTCGCTTTGAGAGCAACGCCTCATCCCGCTGTCAAGGTACATACGGAGTTCCAATCGGTCCTTGTTGTTTGCAACAGCATGAAGCACGCCAACAGTGCCACAGGCGTTTGCAATGGTCTGCTTCAGATGGTAGACATTGGGGCTGAGTGTTTGCCCTTCTGCCTGGATGCGCTCGTCCTCTGCGACGCGGTGGTCTTCGTGTGGCTTGGTGACAGGGAAGAGCATCATGACTGCCACGACGGGCTGCGGGACCATTGCGAGGAGGTCTGCATCGAGGCCGTAGACGTCCGTGAAGCCCCACTTTCGCGGCAGGCCCAGCGACCAGACAAACTACCAACAACAATCAACAACAATCAACAACAATCAGTCAATCAGAATTGAAGGATGACGAATCGCGCCATCCGATGTGGATGTGAGCGGATCAGCGTTGGGAGCAGTGACGTAAACGCCAATCGAGAACAGCATAAAGGCCTTCGTCATCACTCGCTCTCTGTCTGTCTGTCTGGCGACCCAGCCCAGAAACGTTGGCGCCCTGGAGAGGATGATGTGTTGGAGATGCATGTGGTTTGGGTGTTGTACCTTGTTCATAACCTGGATTCACCAAACAGAAGGACGAGTTAGTTCAACAGTGAGGCTTTGACTTACGATGCGAATCCCGCTCTCTCACTCTCACTCTCTCCATCCAGCAATTCGCCATGAAGCACGTAATGAAGCACGAAAACAAACGCACTTCGGGGTTGGACTCGAGGGGCAGCCATCGCTTGAAACGAACGAGAAAAAAAAAAAAGAGGGAAACTGTCTTTCCCCCCCCCCTTCGCTTGAGTCACTGAACACGAAAGCACAGAGTTCAACTGGACGAAGATGAGAATGAAGTGCTTTGGACGGAGGCGGAAGGGGGCGGGGGGGGGGAAAGCGAGTGAGAGCGAAAGAGAGAGAGCGTTACCATTGCCAGGTACGGATAGTCCTGCACAACATCGCGTATTACTGCCATCTCCTCCTCCAAGTTGTACTCCCACACTTCGCGGATTTCGAACTTGCAGTCCGAGTTGTTCCCTAGTGGTGGCGGCATGGTCGTCTGGGAGAGCGGCGGCGGTGGGGAAGGGGTACGAAAGAGCAGGGAAACAAGAAAAAAAAAAAAAAAAAGACGAAAATTCAAATAAAAAAAAAAAAGAGCAATGGAGCTCCATACAAAAAGGTTCAGAGAGAAGAAATCATCGTCAATGATGATTCGAAATTGATAGTGTGCTTGGAAGACAACCAACTCCGACAAAAGAGGTACAAGACAAAAAAAAGCAATGTCTGAATGTCTGGATGTCAGCGTCAGGGTGGTCAAAGGTCAGTCTCTTCTGCCTCCTCCTTTTCCCCCCACCACCACCCCTACCCACACAGCCACCACGCTGTCAACACCCGCACATCAGAGAGCACGCACTCTGCCAAACGGACGCTTCTTTGAGTCCTCGCAGTCCTTGCAGAGCCTTGCCAATGCATTTCCGAGATCAGACAGCATTGGGGACTCGATCCCTGCATGGCGTTTTGTTGTTCTTCCGCCATTTGGTGTGTGGGCGCGTGCTGTCCTTCTGTTCTTGCTGGATCGCCCTCGTCGAGCTGTAAGTCTAGTAGAAATCATCAGTGCTTTCGTCCATCCATCTTGTCTTGCTCCGCGGGGAGTGCGGACGCTCCTCCACCGAGCACCAAACAGGATCATCACAAAGGACAGCGGTAAAGAGCAGCAATGCTCTTTTTTGCTGCTCGTTCGATCCTGCAACCCTCGCCCTCGTCCCCTGCCTCAGTACCCTCAAAGCAAGTGTGGACGACTGCGCGCTGTTTCCTACTGGTGGTGGCCGCATGTCATGTTCGTTTGCCTGGGGCTTCGGGCTGCGAGGCTTCAAATGAATTCCCACCCGCACATCCCCGTTCGTCTATCTCCTGCCATTGCATTTGAGCGACAATCGACACTGCTTCAGTCATCGTGGACCCAAGCGAGCTGTTCAAGCAACTTGTGCTGCACTGTGCAACTGCCATTGCAATGTTGGAAACAAAAAAAAAGGCACATGTTGTTTTTTTTGTTTTCTCGTACATTGTAAACTTTTTACTCTGCTCTCATCCACCAACGCTGCTGAAGGCTTTTGTGCGGCGCTTGCTTGCCTCGGTCGTCGACGAGCAGTGTCCCGGCAGCCTGAGCGACGGTGACGCCGGGGTCCAGGGCGCTGTCTGGTAGAAGCCGGACGTGAATATGCGCGCAGAATTCAAAGTCCAGCGCGAGGCATTATTGTTGAGAGGTACCGAGGCTCGGGACCATAGACTTGTTGTTTCGAAGAGCGACCCATGCTGCGCCTGCCAAGCAACAGCTCGTGCAGCGAAAAGATGCTGCCGTGGCTTGGAAGCACAACCGAGGTGGACAGAGATGAAAAAGTTGACTCAATTTTCAACCAGTCATGCTCAATCCTGCGCGTGCACCTCTCGAATAGGGGTTTATGTGGAATTTTTCCGCTTATTGGGGAACTACTTGAGTTTGGAAGATTTTTTTTCGTTTGATGCAATTTGAGTCCAAAGCTAAGCGAATCGCAAATTTACAACAATCTGGCTTGGCACACCTTGTGGCTTTGTCCGCCTCGTCAGAGTCTCCGTGTCATTGGCAACGCGTCTTATGTCGACTCGTCTTCGCAACAGTTGGTTGGTGGTCATACTGTGCTGCCCTTGCATGGGGAGGGCGAGCGGGTTTGTCAGCGCGAGCGGACGTTGCTACGTCCCACAAAAAAAAAAAAAGCCAAGGCGAGTTGTTGCGGGTTGGGCGCTGTAGTTGAGCGCCAAGGTTGTGTGGCCATTCGACGACTTTTCGTGCGCATTCCGCTTTGCGGCGAAGGCTCGTATGGCTTGCATCCCATTGGAGACAGGCCCCAAGTTGAAAGGATCGGTTGGGGCGCGCGCACGCAAGCACAGGGTTCAAGTACCACCAGCGGTCTTGCGCTTGTCGGGGATTTGTGTTCACTCGCGCAGAATTTTTTTGGTTTATCATGCAACCTCCTGTTGAGTCGAGTCCTTCCACCACGAAGCGCAGGAACGCGGGCACGAGCTAATTCCTGTCAAACAATCAGTCTTGCCAAACCACCATGCAGCGCACACGCAAGAGTCGCACTTCTCGTGATGCAGGGAGCGATAGATCACTACCGACAAATCCACACAATCGATGGCGCCGATTGGCCAGCTTGATCACCAAAATCGATGGAAGGACCGAGCTCCAATTGGCCAGATTCTGTTTGTTTGCTACTTTTTTTGGTCCACGCTCGAGGGCAGGCCAGCTTTCGTGACACGCTCGTCCATCCTACTTGACAGCACAAACAACTGTTTGTGCCTGAATGGCAAGAGAAACACCAGCTGGTAGCAATGCAGGCGGAGAGCACCTTGCCGGGGCCCCGAGCGCATCTGGGGCCTCGAGCCGCGTCATCATCGTGGGCACCTGCCCCGACCCGACCACAGAATTCGCATGGGGGCCCCCGGCTTTTTCGCTAGTACGTGCCTTCTTATTCGAATCACAATCAAGGGCACCAGAGACCAAAAGCCCAGTAATGTTGCGACGCAATGAGGGGGGGCCATCGCAAAGTGCGAACGCGGTGACTAAGCAACCGAGCGCGCTCGTTCGTTATTGTGCTACAACCTGTCGCAGCTGCAGGCCACTTCCAGCCACCATCTTGGTCAGCAAATTCAAAAAAAACCTGCTGAAGCCGGTTTTCCCCCTCGATTTGGACGTGAGGGGTGAGACCATTCTTCATTTTCATCTCCTTGTGTATCTCAGCAATTGATTCGCATTCCTGGTATGTCACCCCCACCAAGAATTCAATTTCTGTCTCATCACTACGAAAAACAAAAAAAAAAGGGAAAAAAAAAAAGAGTCCACCAACAACAGCTGAGGCAAAAGTGTTTGGCTGCAGCTCGTCAATGACAATGCGTTGCGCCTGACCGGGGGGTGTACGGTGGAGACCGACATGTCAGTGCAGCACCCGTGCTTCCGAGTTGATCGCGAGCGCTTGCACAAAAGGGAAAAACGAATCAAAAGCGAATGCAACAAACCACAAGCCGTCGGGCCTCGATCCAATTTTTTCCAACACATCCTCTTCCGCCCTCCATGCACATCTCATCCGATTGGCGGCTGAATCATCTGCACATGCTCGCCTCTTGCATACTCCCCTTCCTCTCCTTCCCTGCGAGTTGCAGACAAGCCAATGCTTGGGAGACCTTGTTTTTGTGCTTTATCAACCTGCACGAGCGTCCACGAGGGGCGTCTCTCGCTCTCTCTCTGTGTTGATGGCTCGTTCGCACAGTCGTGCGACCGTCTATCGGCTGCGGTGGCGATCGTTTTTCTGTGATTGGTTGTTTATCTCAGCACTCGTTGGACACGGCTAGTTGCACCTGGTTTCGAGATGGATCACCCTCCTCGTTTTGTTTTTTTGTCTTTTTTTTTTTTTTTTTTTTTTTTTTTTTTTTTTTTTTTTTTTTTTTTTTTGTTCGTTGGTTTATTGCTGTTGCCTTAAAAAACAAAAACCGACAACAAAAACAACAAAACATTCCATCAAGATTCAACACAACAACAAAACACACCCGGACTCTGTTTTTCAACGTACCTTAGCATATCAGGGACTCGTTTTTGTGAAGCAAGAAGGGTTTCTGGAGAGACGAGAGTCTTGCTCTGCTCCAGCTGTGCTTTTTGGTGCCTTGTTGCTCCATTCCACACTGCGTACATACCGCGCGTGATTGGACAAGGGCGGTTTTTCAGATCTTGTCGGAATCAAGCGACATGGGGCGGGTTTTGTTCGGCGAATTCAAGGTCAGGATCTCGTGCAAAAGCGATTAGAGACCCAAATGAGTCATTGACACAAACAATAAAAAAAAGAGAGTCGACAAGCACTTCTTCGCTCATCCCTCCACGCGTCGCCAGTCGCAGCAACGACGAGTGGTTGTGCTTGCCTGTCGCGTGTATCCTCGCGCTTTATTTTGTTGTTTTTGCGTTTTTTTCCCCGAACCGCGATCCATTCCATCCGCTGTTTTGTTTTTTTTTTTTTTTTTTTCCTTTGTTCCTTTGTTTTTCTATTGCTTTTGGGTTTTTTCCGCTTTTTTTTTTTCTTTTTCGAAAGGGGCGCGGTCGTGTGGCTTGATTGCGTTTTCCTCGCTTATTTCCCGCCCGCCTGCTGCACCCTCCCCCCTCTTGCGGATGTGTGCAAGAAGCGTCTTTGGGCAATGGAATGGGGAAGATCAGAATGCGAGCTCAGCAGACACACAGGCATGATTCGAGGTGGAACGAATGACAGCTGAGCTTTACGTAACTTTTTTTTTTTTTTTTTTTTTTTTTTTGGTGTGTGTGTGTTGCCTTGGAGCATTGCAATTTTGGCACGTTTTTTTGTGTTTTTATTGCTCTTTGTTTACCACCCTGCACAATGGCTTGCACGACGACGAGTTGGGGCGTGAACGAAACGCCGAACGAAGCGCTTGCTTTGCTTTCCAACCATTCGTGACCAGAAGAACTTTTTTTTTTTTCGAGATTGCACGCGCGCGAAACAGAAAAAAGAAAAAGAAAAAAAACTCCAATCACATGCTTTGTGCGTTCGCGCAACCCCCTCGTCCCCTCATTAACAAATTGTACTTTATAATTAAGTTTTAAGATCCTAAAACTGTGTGTTTTTAAGCATTGGATCACTTTTGGAAGGCAGTCTTTGTTTTTTAACTTTGATCTTGCGCTTTTTTTTTTTTCTTTTCTTGTTTCATCTCATTTTCTAACAACAATTTGATCTTGTTTTTTTTTTTTTTTTTTTGGTTATTCTATTTGCATCCAGCGCCGTGCTTCGGGGTGTCGCTCGTTCGTAGGACCAGCAGCATCAGCATCAGACAAAGCAGCATCAACCACCCCCATTCAATGCACGCAATAGCAGACCAAGTCACAGCACAAGTAGCAGCAACAGCAGAAACAGAAGCAGCGACGCAACACGCTTCCCTCCAAATGCAGTCCCGCCGATTGCCCGCGCAGCCTCGGTGAACGCTGGATTCAGCAACACGTCGACCAGCAATGCATCCAGCGCCAGCAGCGACAGCAACGACAGCAACGACAGCAGCAAGGGCGCCAATGGAATGCTGGCACGCACCAAAGATTTGGATCAAAATAACAAATCTGCGCCAAGCCCGTTCGTGATTACGTCGGATGTAGTCATGCCCGACGCGACCATTCCAGCCTTAATGGCGATGACAACGGAGGCAACATGTGCGGCCATGACTCAGGCGGCGGCAGCGTCGGCAGCATCGTCTGGCGCAGTAGCAGCATCAACAAACGGAACAAACGCAGCAAACGCAGCCAACGCAGCCAACAATGCGAATTTCCTCTTCCAGCGCCCCGAGTCGGCCTTCAAGCTGACGGCCAGCGCACTGCCCCTACTTTCGTCGTCGCAGTCGCAGTCGCCCACCGCTTCGTCGCTGGGCTTCTCGCCGCTGCTGGGGTCACAGGAGTTGGAGGGGTTGGATTGGTCGGGCTCCCCAAAATTGGGCGACGAAATATTCCCCTTCCATTCCAGCGCCAATAATGCCTCGCGCATCAACGCTGCCAGCGACTCGCTCAGCATGGGCAAGCCCATTGACAACAGCAACAACCTTCACGCCAATGCCAGCAGCAGCAGCACCGCAAACAACAACAACAACAACAACAACAACGGCGTCAAAACACAAATGGAAGTGCACTCTTCATTCGCTGGGAATTCTGGTGTGAAATTCGTCACCGACGTTAACAACAACAATAACAACAATAACATCAACAACAACAACACCGCCACCCGCAACGTCCTGCCCCCTGCAGCCTCTGCACCGCACTCGATATTGACGTCTGCAATGGTTCAGGCGGCCGCAGCTCAGCAGCAATTCGCCATGGACTTGTCAGCACCCGTGAGAATGGGCGGAAACACCAATATCCAAAATGGTGGTAACATGACCAATAGCAGCAGCATTGTCCACGACACCTGCAGCAGCAGCAGCACCAGCACCAGCACTGGCGCTGTTTACCAAAATGCTCTTCACCGCGTGAGTTACAGCAGCGCCAGCAGCGCGACCAGCTCAGCACCCAACGGCTCGCCCGCATCTGCTCGCAACGCAGTTTCGGCCTTTTATGACGACTCGCTCGTGGGCGGAAATTTGGGCAGGTCGAACGCGACATCTTCGCATACCCTGATGCTCCTTGACAACCAGCAACCCATGCGCCTCACGCAGCAGCATCAGCAGCCACAGCTCCACCAGCGCTTTTCGCAGAATCATCATCAACAGCAGCAGCAGCTGATGGACCTGGAGCGTGAGGCCGCCGAGCCCTGGCTCGAACAGCTCCACCAACAAACCGCATTCGGCGAAATCACGTCCCAATCTGGGTCGCGGCCCGGAACAGCCCAGCTCACCGAGCAGGCTCAGCAGCTGCAGCAGATTCTCTCGTCAATGTCGACTCGCGCAGCTCTCGCAGGATCAACCCTGTCGGTGGCCGCAGGACAGCACCCGCAGCAGCAGGCGACCGAATCGGGGTCCCGACGCAGAACTCTGAGCACTGCCTCTGTCGATCAGCCCTGCTCCCGCCGCGTGCAGTTCACAATGGGCAGCCCACTCCGCCTCATCAGCATGCCCGGCGTCCACATTGCACTGGAGAAAGAGGAGCTCTGGCGGACTTTCTTCCGCCACGGCAATGAGATGATTTTGACCAAGAAGGGGCGTCGCCTCTTCCCAACGCCGAGCTTCACCATCACCGGCCTCCCCGAGCACCGCTCCTTCTCCATTGTCATCAACTTTGTCCCGGTACGTCGAAGAAGCCCCCTCTCGTGCATTTTTCCTTTTTTTTTTTTCTTGCTTGCTAGAAGAGCAAGTTCAGACCCACTTTTTTTTTCCTCGTATCCTTTTTTGTTGATGTTCTTTTAAAAGAAGCGGTGGGCGGATGGTCCGGATTATTTTGTCTTTTGTGATTCGCTTGTTTTGGAGCTGCCTTTTTTTTTTTTTTTTTTTTTTTTTTTTTTTTCGCATCGAAAAGTCGAGCGTTTGATCTTCTAATAGCTCCGCTAATTGTGGTGCGATTGGAGTTCGCTTTTTTACGGTGGCGGCGGAGGGGGCATGAACCATTGGTGCGAGTCGTTGTTTCATTCGATGGGATTGGAGTTTCTCCGCCTGAGTCATCGACTTGTCGGCTTGTTTCGCTTTCCTCTACTCTTGTTTCCTTTTTTTTATTTGTCCTCCTATCTATCATATCTATCTCATCTCGTAGTCTATTGAATGCCTTCCATTCTTTCATTCCTCGGGAGATTCCTGAAGGAACTGGTTGGCTTTTTTTTTTTTTTTTTTTTTTTTCTTCTTCTGTTGGTCGCTCTGGCGGTTGTTGCGGTCGTGAATGCGAATTGCGCAGTTCACGTCTTCAGCCATTGGTCAATCCATTTTGAGCGTTGACCGCTTGACCGCTTATCATTGTTGTTCGCAATTCGCAATTCGTTCTTAATTAGTCGTGTCATTTTTAACATGCGCTCCAACTCTGCTAATTTTTCTCCTTCGTCTGTTTACGTCCTTTTTGTTTTTGTTTTGCTCAATTCCTTGCGGTTGGTTTGGTGTGCATGTATTCATTTGGTTTGGATGGGTTGCTTTTCTTGGTCTAGGCCTCCAAAGTCGCCCACCGCTATGTCGGTGAGGCCTGGGCGGAAGTGCCCACCTCCAAGTCGCTGGACTGCAATGTTGTGACGCAGTTTGTGCACAACAGCTCGCCAGCGTTGGGCTCGGTCTGGGTTGAACACCCCTTCATGTTTGATTTTAAAATCACCAACAACGAAATCACCTCGACTACCAGCGACGCCGTCCTGCTGCATGCCCTCCACAAGTACATTTTCTGCGTCCAAGTGTTTGAGCCGCTCGCGGAGGACGAGTCCAGCATGCTCGAGGTGGACTTGGAGGCTCCAGCTGGCGCCAACCGCATGCACCTGCCTGGACATCGCCTGGTGCACTCGCAGCTGTTTGAAGAGACCCAATTTATTGCCGTCACCGCCTACTGCAACCCCAACATTCGCGCCCTCAAGATTAGCCACAACCCGTTCGCCCGCGCCTTCACCGACCGTGCCAGGGGCGACATTGAGACGGCGCGCGCCCTCACTCAAGCGCTGGAGAATCAGGACGACTCGTCCGCAGGCGAGGCGTCGCCCATCCCAGTGGCAATGGTGGGACCTCAGCGAGCACCCGTGCGTCGCTCGTCGTTTGGCGGCGCCGACATGCTCTCCCCGGCCACCACGGACGACGGCACGCCGCTGCGCCCGCAATTCTTGCCGCTCTGCTTTGAGCCGGAACGCTCACGCTCAGCGGCGCTGTCCTCGGCGCCGACTCCGCCCACGCCGATTCCGACACGCATCACCGCCCGACGAAACCGGACCGTCTCCGAGATGGATGCCGTCGACTCGACCGCCAGTCTCTCGCCCGCGCACTCTCTGGCGAGCCGCAACCACACGCCTTCGCCCATGATCCAGCAAGGCAGCACTGCCTTCCCATTCACGACCCTCCCAAGTGCATCGCCAAAGCGCGCTCGCTTGGACCACTCGCAGGGTCTCAGGTCGATCACGTCTCTGGGAGGTGGTGCTCGCAAGCTCTCATTCGAGTCGATGTATTCCAGTGACTTTTCAGACTTGCTGCTCGACGCCCAGCGCATGTTCTCCAATGCCAATGCCCGCAACAGTGGCCACGGCGGCTTGACGACCTCGGCATCTTGCAGCTCCATGGCTTCCACGAATTCGCGCTCCGCGGGCTTGCCGCACCTGAGCCACACGTACTTTCCCGGAAGCTCGGCGGACTCAACTCCATTGCCCACTCCGGGTCTCGGACACTCTGGGACGCAAGGAACGCAACCCACCGCGCGTCCGCGTGTGATGAGCATTTCCCAAAACCGCGCCAACTGGGACGCGTTTCAGCACGCTACACAGTCGGCCAACCTGGACAGTGCCAACACCTCGACTGTCGAAGAGCTTGAAGGCTTGATTGGCGCTGTAGCCCGCTCTGCCAAGGAGGCTGCCATAGAAATGATGACAAAGATGCACGCAACTTCGCCTCAGTTCCGCTCCTCGGAGGAGTATGCGCATCAAGTGAAGCTGGCCATGAACGACGCCAAAATCCAAATTGTCGTTTGCGACCTCGCTGTGTTCACCCCGACCACTCTTCAGCGCCTGCGGGCAAACCCCGTCTCGGCCGACTTGTCACTGATGGTGGTCGTTCCTCCCAACACACTGCCCTCGCTGATTGACAGCATCCTGGCAAGCGGTGTTGAAGACGTCTTGTATGAGCCGCTCCCTCCTGCTTTGCTCAAGCAGCACCTCGTCAGGTGCATCGAACGACGTTCTTGGCACGCCTACATGTGAAAATCACACTGATCTTCACACCACCAGCCCCCTTTGTTTTTGTTATCCATATTTTTATCGTCTCGAGTTGTTATCATCTCAAGCGTTGTTTCCGTCTCAAGTTTTTTTTTTTTTGTTTTTTTTTTTTTTTTTTTGTTGTTGTTGTTTTTTTTTAAAATCGTCTCAAGTCCTATCTCGTTTTTGTTATTTACTTTGCCTCATTTACCCTCCTCCCGTTGTTTGCCTTTGTGAATTTTCTTGCTTTTTGGTTGTTGCTTGGTTTTGATTATTTTTTCTGCTGATTTTCATTTTAGTTTGATTTTGCGTTTTACCCATTTACCTTTCGTTTTTTCGCCAGATGGTTTGTACAGCTGATTGGCGTGATGTTCTTCATGACAATATACGTACTTTGGAACACTTCAAAACAAGATTGTAGTCGGAGCATAGAACAAAAGCTTTCAGCGAAATGATACATTCCACAAACAAAACACAAAGCGGCACAACAAGAACACGCCAATTTAAAAAGAAATCAAAAGCAAAACAAGCTCGAAAAAAAGCTCGAACCAAAAAAAAAAAGAAGCAGCAAAAACAAAAAACATGCTCATTTCTTGCGACGTTGCTTGGAAATACGCCAGGCGTTTGGCTCCTCGTACTTGTTGTACATTGGCTCGATGCGCTCCATGCGCTTGCGCTTGGACAGATACGCGGGGTCGGCGACCTTGAAGAAGGCGGGAGCGAGCTCAACAAGCCACTTTGGCTCGATGGCGGTGCACTCTCGCATGTACTCTTTGGTGGTGAGCACGAGCTCGTGGTAAATCACCCACTGGGGCTGGTGGTTGAAGAGTGCGCTCGAGGGATGGATGTACACAACCTGGTTGTCGACCATGGTCTTGTACCCTTCCGTGGGGTCTTTCTTGGCGGCGTTCTTGAAAAAGCCAGAGCAGATGGCGCGGCGCACCTTGTTGAAGTTTTTGCCAGCAGAGACAATGTCCAACTGGTACCGGTCCATGATACCAAGCATCTGCTTGCGCACATCGGCAGCTCGGCGCAAGGTTCGAGCTTGCAAAAAGTTCTCAAAGCACCACGGCTGGCTAAACTTGTTGGCCTTCCAGCCATTGTACACCGCAAGCAGCGTGCAGTGATCGCCCTCCGCCTGGTGAAACTTGGCCTTCTTTTGGTCTGCAATCGCCTGCCTGTCTTTGGGTCGGAAAAAGACATTCTGCACCGAGAGCATGGCGACAACCGTGAGCAGTTCGTCCGAACAGCCAAACTCGACCGACTGGATGAGCATCTTGGCCAACGGCGGCTCGAGAGGGAACTCGGCCATTTTCCGGCCGAGGCGTGTCAGCAGGCCTTCGTCGTCCAGGGCGCCCAACGAGAAGAGGTTTTCCATGGCACTGATGAGCGTCTGCGGCGGTGGGGGATCCATAAAGTCAAACGTGATGAGATCGTTGATACCCATCGCCTTCAGCGACAGCACCGTGCTGGCCATGTTGGTCCGTTGGATTTCGGGGACGTTGGTCTGCAGCATTTCGTCGCGGTAGGCACGCTCGGTGTACAAGCGATAGCACTTGCCAGGGCCTGTTCGACCCGCGCGGCCTGCGCGCTGGCGGGCCTGAGCTTGAGAGATGGGCGTGACGACAAGCGCGTCCATGCCGGTCTTGGGATTGTACACGTTCTGCTTGACAAAGCCCGGATCGACGACATAGTAGATGCCGTCGATGGTGAGCGACGTTTCTGCAATGTTGGTTGCAATAATGACCTTGCGGCCGCCGGGCGGAGCCGGGTCGAAGATTTTCGTCTGCATCTCGCTGGGCAGCGAAGAGTACACGGGAAGGATGATCAGCTCTGGCACGTCCGGCCCGAGCGACTTCATGCGCTCGTACAAGATTTCGCAGGACGTGTCAATTTCCTCTTGACCCGTCAAAAACACGAGAATGTCGCCTGGGGGCTCGGTCAGATGGATTTGCATGACGGTCATCAAAGACGCGTCCAAGTAGTCGTTCTCGGGCTCGCGCGAGTACAGCACTTCCACGGGGAAGGTACGACCGGGGATGGTGAAGATCGGGCAGCCGAAAAAGTAGGACGAAAACTTTTCCGCGTCCAACGTGGCCGAGGTCACAATCAGCTTGAGGTCGGGACGGCGCTGGGCGCAGCTCTTCAGCAGACCAAACATGACATCGGTGTGGATGGTGCGCTCGTGGGCTTCGTCGAGCATGATGACAGAGTAGGATTTCAAGTCGCCATCAATCAGGCACTCGCGCAAGAGCATGCCGTCTGTCATGTACTTGATTTGGGTCTCCTGTGACGTGCAATCCTCAAAGCGAATCGTGTAGCCCACTTCGGCGCCCAGACGACAGCCAAACTCCTCCGAGACGCGCTTGGCCACCGACATGGCGGCAACACGACGTGGCTGCGTGCATCCGATACGTCCACGAGCAGTGAGACCAGCTTCGGCCAGGTACTGGGTGATCTGGGTCGTCTTGCCAGAGCCAGTTTCACCGATAACGATGAGAATTTGGTTTTCCTCGACGGCTTGCAGCAGCTGCGAGCGGAGCTTGTAGATTGGGAGCGTTTTTCGCTGCTCGACAATGCTGAGCGAAGTCACCTTGCCGTAAGTAGCGCCTTTGCCCATGGACACCTTCTTCCACTCGGGCATCTCCTGAGGGGCGCTAGCAGCCGCGTTCATGCCGCGGACGCCCTGCGCCAACGAGCGCTCGTCGTCGCGCGCCATGGGGTCAATCCAACCTTTGGTGAGCTGGGCGGGAGCGACATCGGTCTCCGCCGCACGCTGTGCATCGCGCACTTCTTTGCGCTCCTTGGACAAGGCCGTCTGAGTCATGGCCGCGCGCTGCAGCGAGCCGTCGGGGTTTTTCACAATTTTGACGGGACTGGCAGCCTGTGCAAACTTGGTCTGGCCGCGCAGGAAGAGCGGCTCCTCTTCCACAATCTCGACCTCCAAGTCCTCCACGTCGTCCAACTCGTCCGCGTCTCGCATCACGCCGAGCTCTTCGTCGTACTCGGGATGCTCGGTGCGGTCCATGACGCCCGCGGAAATCAGCTTTTCAATTTCCCAGCGCTCGGGCGTGGACAGCTTCTTGGCTCGCTGGCGCTTGGTGCCTCCGTACGGATCGCTATCACCAGACAATGGCACACCCGATGCGTTCAGCATGCCCCGCGCTGCCGCTGCACCGGCGGCAGCAGCTTCCGAAAAGGCGCCGCCAGGTCGTTCGGGGTTGTGAGCCATGTCCATCATCATGCTGGCATTCGCACCAGTCAGAACAGGCTTATCGAACGAGCGAGTGGGGTTGAGATCCTCGCCTGTGGTTTGATCGACATCCTTCATCGACAGGGACATTTTTTGGCCGGCGATCGACTTGAGCTTGACCTTGATTTGTTGCCCACGCGACACGACGTCAGCTGGATTGGTGACTTTGCCTTCGCGTCGGATTTCAGAAATGTGCACCAAGCCCTCCACCTTCCGTCGGAAGCCATCGAGTTGCGCGAAAAAGCCAAACTCCTTGATGGAAGTAACGCTCGCGTCGTAGATGCGACCCACCTCGGGCTCGGCCGAAGAAGAGGAAGACGAAGCGGAAGACGAAGAGCCATATCGGCTGTCTTCTCGCGATGCATCAATGATAGCACGGCGCGACGGGTGAATGTGTGCATCGTTGGATGCCGAGCTGCTGTTTCGGTGGGGCGACGGGGAGCGGCGGTGGTCTCGTCGGTCGTCGCGTCTGTCGCGGTCATCGCGTCTGTCTCGATCGTCACGTCTGTCGCGGTCATCTCGTCGGTCGCGGTCATCTCGTCGGTCGCGGTCACGACGATCGTCCCGGTCATCTCGTCGGTCGCGGTCACGACGATCGTCCCGCTTGTCGTCCCAGTCGTCATCAAACCGCGATTTGCGTCCTTCTGGGGAGCGACGACGAGAGTCCGAGCGAGAATCGCGTCCACGTTCACGAGAGTCATCCGCCGCGTCGCGAGAACGAGAAGAAGAGGGAGCAGCAACCGCTGCAGACGAAGAGGACGATGACGCTACTGGCAGGGTCTTGGAAGTTTGCAGCAGGGAATCGAGCTCGTCCATGGCGCTGGCAGCAATTTGCGCATCGAGCGCAGCCACGTCTGGCCGCTTGGCATCCCGGATGGCCAGACCTGGGAAGAGCTCACGACGTCGCTCCAGCTCTTCGCGACGTGCAGCTTCGTCGGATGGTTCGCCCGAGGACGACGACGACGTGTCCATCATCGTGGATGATGAGGAGGCGGCCCGAGCCGTTGAAGTGGAAGCAGCAGCAGCAGCAGCAGCCCCGTGCGCCGCGTTCTTGATTGACGGATGCATGTTCTGGATGAGCTTGTACAATTTGCCTGCAAACGCAGCAGTGCACTCGGCGCCTGTCAATCATCAAATCCAGGATCAGATTGTCAAGTGAGACATTGAGTTGTAAATTTCAATCCATCCAGTTTTCCCCTTCTTATTTTTTTTTCGATATGATGGTAAATGTATGTCAATGACTCGTCAGCGACTTTTTTTTCTCTCTTGCGTTTCAATGTGTCGACCAGCTGGTTTGCTGCTATTTTTTTTTTTTTTTTTTTTTTTTTTTTTTGCTTCCAATGGACTTCCATACAAACCTTTTTCCAATGGAAAGTCCAGCAAAATCCCCCTTTTTGCCCTTTCTCCCCCTTTTTCCCTCTTTTCCGTTGCTTTCTCCCCTGCAAATCGTCAACGCCCATTGCCATGCACTATGACCATCTCATCATGGAGCGGGAGAGAACAAAGCGAGTGCAGATCGTCGTGGTCGTCGTCGTCGTCGTACCATTGTCGTTGAGCATGGATCGGAAGGTCTCTGCAGCCGCCGCAGCCGACACTGACGCCGATGCCGATGACAAGTGCTGCTGCTCGGCAAGCGAGATGATGAACTCGGCGACGGTGCGGTCGCCCATCTCGGGACCCAAGTGCGCTTCGAGCTCGGTGCACACACGCGAGACCAGCGAAAGGTACTCGAGCTGCTCCAGCTCACTCCGTGCAGCCGGTGGTGCAGTCGACATGTTGCTGAATGCTGGCGTTTGGATGGATGGGCTGGTGGAGTGTCGATCTGCGAGGTCTTGGGGCTCAATAGAGAAAAAAAAAAAAAAAAAAAAAAAGAGTGCGCTCAGATTGCATTGCAATCTCAGTAGTGGAAAACGAAACGAAATAGTAGAACCGAATAATGATTTAGAATACAAAATGTTACACATCGACAAACTTTCGCATGGCGGCAGAAACCTGCGTCGCTTCATAGCCTGACTGGTCCGTCGGAACGTGGACAAAGCCATGGCGATTTCCTGAATACATGACGATACGCTGGTTGCGGGCTTCCAACAGCAATCGCTCCAGCGGTCGCGACGAGGTGATTGAGAAGGACAACTGGCTTTGGAACAGCTCGCGCTGCACAATTGCAGTTGCACTCGCAGTAATCACATCGACAAACTCGTTCTCTGCCTCGGGTTGGCGGTGAAACAGCCCTGCACTCAATGGACTGTCGGGGCTGGCTTTCGCGCTCAGGTCTTCAGCGACATCGGAAGGAAGAGGAACGTGGACGCTGCTTTTGCCCACAATCTTGGCGTCCGTGAAGCCAAAGATGGGGACGAGATCGGTCAAAAAGTTCCTGCCATAGTAATGCCCCGACTCGAGGAAGAGCATCAGGGGCATCGGCGACGGCTGCTTCCCCGAAACCACGACTGCTTGATTCATGCACAGCCCAGAACCCCAATCGCGAGTCTCAAACACCACGCGAGCCAGGGACGGGTAGCGGTGAGCGAGAATGCGCTCGACAGCTCCTGCGCGGTACAACCGTTGTGGCGAGCATACAGGGACGCGCTCGATCGTGCCACCGACCATTTCTGACAGGTCTCTCAGCCCAAGCGAGAGGTCGGCAGCGACACTGGCATCTCCATTCAATGTGGCTTCGACGCGAGCTTGAGCATGCTCTGAGAGTGGGAAGATCTGTCGGCCATACACTCCAATGACCAGTTCCTTCTGCGCATGCTCCATGCGCAAATAGCTCTCGACGTGCGCTTCGAGCTCGGGGAATGGACACTCCAGAATGTCGTCCAACAAGTCATCCTCGACCAACGGGACCAATGGGAGCGAGGAAGAATCTTGCTCGGCAGTCGCACCATTGTGCTCCATGCAGGCGACAACGGAAACACCAGAAGTAGCGGATGCGGTTGCAAACTGTGCCTCAGTGTAAATTGAAGCTGCCTGCAAGATCTCGCCCAGGAAATGCTGGTATGTGCGTGAGGCGAGGATGTGCCGCTGGGCGTTCAAAGTCAGCGCCTCGCGCTGCGCCGAGCTGGACAGGCGCTTCAACGCATCCGAAACGGCATCAGCCGAGTCAGCCTCAACAAAGCCGTTCGAACCAAGGACTTGTCGCAGCTCGTCCACTGAAGCAGAGTCAGCAATGATGGCGGTGCCTGCCATGACCGCGTGAACGGCTTGGCTAAGGTGCTGGTGTGATTGTTGGCCGACGACCAGCCCTGTTTGGAATTGGCGCAACGTAGAATTCGTCTCTTGTTGCAACGGCAGAGGGTGCAGCGCCGTCACCAACTCTTTCGGCACGACCGCAGTTGCATCGCCAAAAATCACCAGACCATGCTCCACGGCTGGAGCCAGCAAGGCGGTCGTGCTTGAGGGATACTCTTGCAAGGAAGCGTCAGGCCCAAAGAAAACGCTCTTGCCAAGCTTTGGACGCCGAGAGCCGGTCGGGTTGTGCACAAGGTGCTGAATCGGGTGCCACGCTCGGTGCACCGGGACCTCAGATGCTTTCAGCAGCGTGGCGTACTCGGCTTCAAGGAGCTTGGTCGTGACAAAAACTGCACTCGCCATTTCCAGAGTCTTTTGATGGGGTTGAACGGTCGGCAGCAGCGATTCGGCCGATGCACGAGCGTCCCAAAACACGAACGGCACGTGCATGTCGTGTGCCATCAAAACAAGTTCGCTGATGTCGGCACCAAACGCCTCGAGCGGGTCCTCCAAGTCATCCGCAGCAACCAGCAGCAAGTCGAACTGGACATTTTTGAACAGCTCGCGCCAACTAGTGCTGTTTAGTGGAACAACCTGGCTGTACGATGCGATAGCCGACTTGAGCTCCAAGCTCATCCACACTGCAATGTTCACCTTGAGCGGGTTCAGCGGAGCGATGGGCTGCCGCAGCGTCGGAGTAGCCTTGATCATCTCCAAACCAAAGTTGGCCTGCCATTCCGTCTCTGACGCGACAACGGTCGGGACGCCGGGTGGCAGCATCATGCCAAAAGCCGCATGCACGCATCGCTGCAGCGCAAATCGGTTGTTCGCTTCTTCAAGATAGGGTGTGACAGTGGACGCAATCAGTCGAGCTCGTTTCGCGCCCTCGACTGCCATGAAGCTGGCATCCATTTGGAGAATCTGCTGAGCAGCTTCTTTCGGTGTATTAAAGTGCAAAGCGGTCGGGTAGATGAGTTCCGATCCGTTCCAATTGCGGACAACAGGAATACTTCCAGCCGCCATGCCCTCTGCAACTGCTTGATGGCTACCCTCATAGTCGGACGTGGACAAGATGTAGCCAACATTCTCAAACCATTCTGGTGGAGACACGGGGAGGGTCAAATACTGCACAGCAGACTCCAACTCGAGTTGCGTAATGTTTTCAGCCAAGTTGTAGTAGAAGTTCAATTCTTCTGTCCGCTTGATAATCCAATCATACGCGAACGGGGATTCACCGGCGACCATCAACTTCCAAGTCGAATCGGTCTGACGCAACTCGACAAGGATTTCGACGGCCAAATCAACGCGCTTCATAAGAGGCACATAACCAAGGAGACCAAGAGTTCGGAAAGCCTGGTCGGTTTTGGGTCGAAGAAAACTTTCGGTGTCGACGGAGTTGTACACCAATTCGACCTGGACAGTGGCGTTGGCAGGCAACCACTGTTTTGCAGAGGCGTAAATCCACGGAGTAATCACAAGCAAGCGGTCGACGCGGGACCAATTGACAGTGTGGATGAACTTGGTGACCAATTCCTGACGGTGAAGACGAACAACCAAAGTCTTGTGCAGGGCCAAATTGTCGGCATACCAGACGGCATTGCCAAGTGCCCATTCGCACCAGACGACATCCGCCCACTCGGCGAGCTCCTTGCTCCGAGTTTCGTTGTGCCCGGTGTGAGATTTCCACATGTCCAGTTCCACCTCGACGTCGCTGCGTGCGCGAAACTGCTTGATGATTTGGCTGGCAAATTTCATTTGAAATCCTGCAAAAAGAACGCGAATGCGCCGGTGGAGCAGTGTTGGTGCTTCTGGAGCCGAGAGAGCAACAGGATTCTGCGAACGGTAAGGATTGACCATGCCGAAAACGGTGGTTGCGACAGACGAGAAAAAGAACGGCTCGGCGCGCTTTCGCACATGGGCCGAGATTTCGGCTAGAAGATGGCGATTCGCAACCATTTGTCCCATTGCGACAGACAAGGTTTGAACATCAATCTCGCTAAACTCGACTTGTCCCTCGGGAAGCGGGTCAGTCAAAATCGGGCCGCCATCGACGGTCAGGAAGAATGGGTAGTCGACTCCCAAGAAGCTCTCGGTAGCCGGCGAGCGATTCACAAGCACAGGGAGACCGTTGGCTGCGTACTCGATCAGCTTGGTGGACAGCTCGTGGCCAGAGTCGTGCCGCATCCAACGAAGGCCGACATCGCACTCTGTTCGTAAAATGCGCGCAACTTCGGTTCGGACGAGTCCCGACCTGACCTCAATGTGTGGAGCGGCAGCGTCCATGCGGTCGGAGAGCTGCTGTTGGAATGCGGCGTCGCCCTTCACCTTGCTCACCATCAGGAGCATTGAGACCTGGGTGGTCGGATTTTGACGCAAAAACTCTTGAAAGCCTGCGACCAGCTCGAGCGACATGTACAGCGAGTCTGCCTTGCCAGAATAGCAAAACTTTAACGGCCTGTCGGTTGACTGCAGGTCGGCGCGCGAGGTCATGGCGACGCTAGGATCGGGGACCATCGGTGGGATGACAACAGAGCCATGAGGAACACCATAATTCTCCTCTGAGAATTCCCGCATGTGCGGAGTCGAGAAAACCAAACGGGCAGGCGACTGGACAATTTCGCGGAGTTGCGCAACCTGCTCTTCTTTGATGTCGCTCACAAAGACGACAGATGTGCGGCGCGCCATGTTGGGCTCTCGTGCCAGCAGCTGCCCAACGTCCAGGCCGCGGACGAGGATGAGATTGTACTCTTCGCGGGCGTCAAGAGCACGGATGGCTCGAACAGCGAGTGCAGGTGAAAGTCGTTGTACTTTTGCGGTCACTGCTTGATCGCCCAGATGCGCAGGGTTCCAAGCATCCAACAAGCGTACTCGCCCTTGGCTGAGGAGCGGCTGAAGCGTAGCTGCGACTGGAGCGGTGCTCACAAGCGCCTTCTCATCCATGTAGAGCCCCATGGGTGCAGTGTCAACAAACGATCCTTGCACGGGCTTGTGCGCTTTGAGTGCGTTTTGACTTGTGTGCGTCGTCACCAATGGGTTTTGCAAGAGAATGTCCACATGAACGTCGCAATTCGGCGCCGTGACAAGCACCGTTGCGAGCGAGACCAGCCACGCGCTCGAGCCGTCAATCCAGTTGACATTCACGGGTGCATACAGCAAGACTTGGGTGCGATGTTGCTTCAGACGAAACGACTCCCATGGCGGGCATGTCGTTGGCATGGGCGTGGCTTCGCGAGGTCCTGCGGTGATTGGTTTTCTGCGAAAGAGTGGCGGATTCGGGTCGACGGCCTGATTGTCACCTGGAGAGGACCCTTGCAAGCGGCTGGACTGGAGCCACTCGGGGAGAGTCTGATTAACATCCTGCAGCCACGGCGCGGACTCTTGCCATTCCTCAACAGCAGCAAGCAGTTCAGGGATTGATGGCGGCGCGACAGGCTCCGGTTTGAATTCGAGCTCCATTTCAGTGCTGGGCTCTTCAATCACAAGTGAAGCAGTATCATCTGATAGCAATCCATCTTGGAGGATGGGCTCTTTGTCGTTGGTGTCGACGATCTCTTCCATCTCGACTCTGAGAACGACACGAGTCGGGTCCAACTCGATTTCAGCTTCAGGCGCCATAGTTTCACTGAACTTGTTGCTCAATACCAAAGCCGCCTGTTCTGGTTGAGACGATGGTTCTGTTGTTTCGGAGGCTTTGGTCCCACGGGAGAGCACAAGGGAGGGGGAGGGCAAAGTCAGAACAACAACAATCACAAGAACCCGAGCGTCAAGCCCCGCCCCTCCCGTCGCTAGGCCTGAAAGAGTTGCAGACTGCACGCATCAAGAGTACGTACCAGCATTCAGCTGCTGATGCCAGTCTGGCGCCTCGGACAGAAGCAGATGGTACGCCAACAAGCAGAAGAAGCTGAGCGCGATCAACACGACCCGACCTCGCCTGCTCCTGACGGGTGCACTTGGTCGCAGAATCCAATGCGTCCACGAGCCGAGCCGTGAGCGAGACGGTGATGCATGTCGGTACGCCCTTGTCAGAGTGGCCATTCCCCGCCTTTTTTTTTTCTTTTTTTTTAGCGTCGTCTTTGCTTGCTTGCGTTGGTCTTGGGTTTTTGTGTGTAGTTTTTTTTTTTTTTGGAAGAGTAGAGTGTGGATGTATTTGAGATGAATGGAAGTACTGTACATTTCGATCCTCGAGTCCATGTCCTATTATTGAGGCGTTCAAGGTCTCCTTGTGCTGGTCGCAACGGCGATTCAGCATCAACACCATCAATACAGTCAGCACCACAAACATGTCCCGCTCACTCTTGTATTTTGTAGCATTTGTGTCATTACTTAAGGGTTCCAATGCAGCTCAATGACGATGATGACTGCCCAATGCTGGTCGACGCTGGGCTGCTGAGCCTTCCCTCACCCAATACGCCTGCCCCGTCTGCGTCCACTGCTTCCACTGCTTCAACTGCTTCAGCGACTTTAACGTCAACGCATTCGTCTTCTGTCGCTGCGGCGTCCAGAGTGCCTGTTACCATCATCACGGGCTTCCTCGGCGCTGGCAAGACCACGCTGATCAAGCGCTGTAAGCCCGCTCTCGTCGCTCACCCGCACGTCTCCCAGCGTTGGGAGAAAAAGTTAGGGGCTCCGATGGAATGCTTGGTGCTCAAAGTGGGGGTCGGGGGTTGTGCAGACAGCATGGGGCGCGTCATCAAACACAAGAAAACCCCCCGCTATCATCGGTTTCATTCGTGTGTGTGCTGGGTTTCCAATCACAAGCAACACCACCTCCGTCATCTATGACTACTAGAAGACGCTGGCTTGAAAACAATGCAAATCCCCTGCTCACTTTTATGTTTTTTTGCATGATGATGTCCGAAATTGCAATTCTGACCTTGCATGCTGTGTTTTTTTGCGTAGTGCTCACGGACGATCATAATCGACGCATTGCTGTGATTGTCAACGACTTTGGAGACACATCCGAGAATAATAACGAGAATCTGGAGGCCCCATTGACTGGTAGCGAGCATCCCGATCTTCATTCTGAGCGGTTTAGCGGCGTGGCTGCTGGTTGTTTACTCACCATTTGTTATGATGCTGTGTCCGCGTGCAGTCGGCGAAAATGGCCAATTGCTGACAGACGAATGGATGGAACTCCGGAACGGCTGCATGTGCTGCTCGTCCAAGGACGCTGGCGTGTCTGCCATCGAGAAACTCATGGAAAAGAAGGGACGCTTTGACCACGTTCTGCTTGAAACGGCGGGACTCGCCGACCCTGGGCCGATTGCTGCCATGTTTTGGATTGACGACGATGTGGAGAGCACCTTGGCTCTCGACGGCATTCTCGCAGTGGTGGATGCCCAGCGCTGTCTCCAACAGTTGGCACAAAGTCCGTCCACTTCTACATCGGCCAAAGGCTCTTCTGCAGATGTGGCTCGACCACAGGCAATCAATGAAGCCGTACGGCAGATTGCGCTTGCCGACAGAATCATCCTCAACAAGACCGATCTCGTTTCGCCCGAAACGCTAGCACAAGTGCTCGACGCCATCACCATCATCAACTCTGCTGCCACTGTCATTCATGCTGTTCGATCCGTCGTTCCCGTGGACTTTGTGCTTCGTGGCACGGCTGATTTCGATCCCGACATGCAGGCGCAGCGTGTCGCGGCGCTCGAGTCCTCGCTCAAGCACAGCCTGACCCATGGTGGAGTGCACGCCCCCAACGCTGATGGCACTAGCGCGTCGGCTTTCTCGGGAGTTTCGACTGTCACTTTGGAGTTTGATGCCTCGTGCCCCGTGCTATCACTTTCAAACTTTCACCGCTGGATTCAGCTTTTGTTGTGGGAGCAGACGTTGCACGTCCAGTTTCCACAGTTTGCCACTCACGTGGAAGAGCACGACGACCAGGACTGCGAATGCACAGACCATCATCATCACGGCCACGGTCATGGCCATTCTCATTCTCATGAGCAACACCGAGCAGCACCTCTCGTCGAGCAGCAGCCACCAATGGAGATTCTTCGATCCAAGGGCATCATCTATCAACTCGATTCCCCTGTTCAACTCACCCTCCAAGGTGTGTGCGAAACCTACGACGTTCAACCCGGCCTCCCTTGGCGGGACTCGCTCACCAAAGCCACGCGTTTGGTGATTGTCGGACGGTATCTGAATCCTACTTTGTTGCGTCAGAGTTTTGTTGCCATGTGCTGCACAAAGTAATCGAGATAGTTAACGCAAGGTGCTCTCAAACAAAAAAAAATCATTGTGTTTTGAACCGTTAACGTGAAAATGAAATGCGGTTGGGGGGGGGGAAGGATGGGAATGTGCTAATGAGACAAAGATAATCACAGCGCACCGAAAATCAATTGGAGCATGAGACAACCAAATCGACGGTGTCGAAAACAACAAAGAGGAGAAATAGACCTTTTTAAAAACAAAAAAAAAAGAAACGAGGTCACGATTGGTCCTCGCAACTCGCCTCCAAACGTGGAACCAGTTCGAAAACACACCAACGCAAGCGTTTGGCTGGGTTACGTCAGGCGACGCTTGATCAGCTCGAGTTCGGTCTTGAACTGAGTGAGCGAGCTTTGCATGTCAACACGCGCTTTCCGCTCATCAGTCAGTTGTCGCTCCAGGCGACCAAGTTGAACACGAAGCATGGCAATCTCGTCGGTAGGCGAGCCGTTCAACGACCCTTGACGCGAGAGTGGAGCCCGAGTAGGTCCGGGACTCGAAGCCGCAGACACGGTTGCGCTACTGTCTGGTGAGGAAGCAGCAGCGACGATACTGTGTGTGGAGCCCAGCTGGTGCTGGACCAAAAGTACGGCAGCATTCAGCGAGTGTGTCAGCTGATCAATGCCATTGACTTTTGTTTGGATACTGGAAACGTCCTCGCGAAGCGTGCGAAGGTCGGCCATTTCCTGAGCGCTGGTGGCCAGCGCGGCATTGACGGCGGTGAGTTTCGAGGCAATCTTGCCGCACCAGCTCTTCACCTCTTGGAGATCGCGATCGATATTCTCTGGGTTCCCGAAACCTGCAAGACCCAGAGTTCCAGAGGCCGCCAACTCGTCCACGGTCGATTCGTCGCTGCTGGACGATGAAATGCTCGTTTGGTGTTGCAATGGCACGGTGCCTGCTTCAGGCCGGCTGCTGATGGCTGCTGGAGCCCCGTTCGAAGTGCCTTGGCGTGAGTGATCACGACGGCTGGCGGCAGCCTCGGCCGCACCGCGGGATTGGTTGGACAGGCCAGCGGCGATATTGGCCTTTGTTTGGGAAATGTGATTGGAAATGGACGTCGCAACCGCGTCGCCTGTCGAAATCTGGGACAGCGATCCCACCGAGCTGCTTAGATTGCGCGACATCCCGGTCGTGACGGGAGGCTCTGACGAATTGTCGTTGGCCGGGCTTGCTCCAGCAGAAGGAGACGGTTGGAACAGGTTTGACGTGGAGACACTCATGTTGGGTTTTGGCTTGGGTGCTTTTGCCGGCGGACCTGCAGGAGGCGCCGCTGCGGAAGGCTTGCTTCCAACATCCTCCCACGTCTTCTTGCGCGTTGCTGGCGGGAAGTTGCCCGCCGAGTTGGGAACTGCGCCGCCATTGCTCGGAGGCATCGGAAGAGAAGGTGTATCTGCCGACAGCTTTGGACTGGGCGGTGCTGAAGGCTCGTCAGAGTTGTTTTCGTAATTGCGCTGGATCAACCCCAGCCGACGTTCCAACTCGTCAAACGAAATTTCGGGCCGGTTGTATCGCGGGACTGGCGCCTCTTCGCTTGCAGGTTGAGCCGCAGTCAGTGGTGGCGTGGCTTCGTCGTCCTCCCCCTTCTTGTCGACCAACTCGGTGAGCATGGCACGCTTTAGATGGAAAATGCCCTTGCGCTCCTTCTTGGTGGACTCAAAGTCGTCGTGCCGCTGCTGCATCTCAGCGTTGATGGCTGCGCGCAATGCCGTTGCGCGAGTGGGCTTGGGCGGCTCGCCGAGTGTGGACATGGCTTCGACAAATTCATCCGATTGGTGCTGAAAACACAAAAACAAAGAAAACGCGCCGTCGAAAAAGTGAGAAGGGCGAGAAGCAACAAGGGTGAGGAGAGGCAGCATGGCGCTTGACAAACATACAGAACTGGTGGAAGCGACTGCAGTTGCAATTTTGGCTTGCATCAATTTCAGGTGATAGTGCAAGGTGCCAACAGCGTCTGTTACGATGGTTTGGCCCAATTGACCGAACGACAGTGCATCGGCAGGCTGATCTGGTGGCACCACCTGGGAAAAAAAAAACGTGACCAAAGGTGAACGAATGGTCCATACGATCGTTGTTTTTCGGGGAGGGGGGAACCTTACCGCGAGCAATTGAAGGTACAGGTGCACACCCAGCTTGGAATCGCGCAAGAGTTGATTGGCGTTCAGCATGTATGGCTCATTTTCACCAAACTCGACACCGCTCGCCATGTTTTGGAGTGTCTTTGAGATGAGAATCAGGTTTTTCCGTGCTTCGGGGGTGACTGGTTGCTTGACCAGGTTGAAGCCCTCTGCGAATGTTGAAGTGGGAAAGTGCAATCAGTCCATTCGTGGCGACAAAACTCATCACAAACGTTGCTCGGTAGCAGAACAACACGCGCCAATCCAATCAAGAAAAAACACACATACCGGGAGAAACGATGGCGGGGCAAAAGTACCGCAAAAAGATAAAGCCGCCAATGGCGATATCGACCTTGTCTGGTCGCACCTTGCCAACTTCGTTCGAGATGATGTGGAAGAGTGTGAAAAAGGCTCTGCAACAAAAAAAGCAAAGCGAAATGGAAGTCCCAGAGACGTTTCAAGAGATGAGAGGCCATCCCTCAGAAACAAAAAACAAAAAGAACGATAACCAAAAAGGAACGACCGGATGTAAAGCAGCATACCGTGGACACGCAGACACAGACTTGGTGATTTCCTCGAGCATCATCTCCACAAACGATAACAGCTTGTCAAAGTTCTTTTTCATGACGGGCACAGTCAGGTCCTTGGCCTTGTTCATGTTCACTTCCAGCGTCGTTTTGATTTCTAGAATCTTTTTGAGCGGTTTCTTCAAGACTACTTTGAGGAAGCCTTCGCCGACGCTCTTAAGGTACTCTGCAATGATTTTGATCGGCACAGTGTTGTTTCGGAACAAGCCGTTCGCGTCCTCGACTTCGACTGCGAGAGTCAACAAAAAAAAGACAAGGCAAACCGAGATGGCGAGTGGCAAAGACACGATTGTGGTTATTAGCGATCGCGCATTGGAAGCGTTAGGAAAGAACTCAATCCAAGCACGCAGAGGAACGGGAGGGGGGGGGTCTTACAAGTTCGGTCAATCTCCTTCTGAACGGCCCAGCGAATCAAGCGGTCCATCTGGTTGGCCGAGTTGAACAAGACGACCAGTGATTGTGCAGTGTCGTCTGCCACATCTTGCGGGATCTCATTGCACAGCGCTGTGAGCAGTGTTTCGTCTTTTGCAAGCAGTAGCTGACCAAAACAAAAAAACAAACACAGGGTGACAAAATGAGTACCAGTTGGTAACGACGAGTGGACTGTTCTGTTTTTGATGATGTTGTGATTTTCGAACCCGTTGTTTGTAACAAAATCTTGTTGATCTTGTTTACTCATTGTCGGGTGATTTTATGTTTTTGTGTTTTTTGTGTGTTTCTCTGAGGTGTGAGTCGGTTACTGAATATGGTAACTTTTTCTCGCCTTTCCTTTTTTTTTTTTTTTTTTTTTTTTTGGAACCAAATATTCCGATTGAACCACTTTTACTGCTGCTGCTGCTGGTTTGTTGTCTGTTTGGGGGTCCATCGTTGAGATCTGAATCACGACGAACGGCAAAGTGATTCGGGTTCAGATTGTGGTCCAGTGGGGGTCCTGATCTCCATTGCATTAGCAATCCCTTTCCGAAACTCAATTGAAATCAGGTTGCTACGTCCCGCTTTTTTTTTTTTTTTTTTTTTTTTGGTAAGGAGATGCTGATGATGTGCAGCAGCAGACTTGCATCGATTGGAAACCGACAGCAAGCACCTCTCTTGTCTCTGGATCTCTGTCGCTCTGTCGGTGTCTCTCTCTCTCTCTCTCTCTCTCACTTCTCGTTCTCCAAACAAAAAAAAAAAAAAAAAAAAAAAAAAAAAGTCAATCTCTCGCTTGCTCGCTCCGTTCTTGGTGTCGATGTTTGTCGACAGCACCAGGTCGTCCAGTGTCAATGTGCACGCCGTGGTAACAAGCACCAACCCAAAGCGACACGCACGCAACTCAACCCCAGCAGCAACCCACTCAAACGCACAACAATTGGCGCCTTTTTTTATTTCATTTTTTTATTTTTTTTTATTTTTTTTTATTTTTTTTTTTTTTTGCGAAAGTCACTGCTGCTGAACTGCGGGCCTCGTCCGAGCGCAGTGAGCCGATCACGGCTTGTCAGGCTGCAAAACCCAAGTGTGCTGCTCATTCTGTATGTAGTGTAAGCAGGGAGGGTTTCGGGGCGGTTGGGAGTGTGTGTGTGGGGTGAGAAGCTCGTCAGTGGGGTGGGTTTACCTTGCACAGCGGCTTGTACTTGGGATCCACGTCCATTTTGTGATGTAGAGGTGCGGGGGGGGGGGGCTGAAAGTGCAACTTCCCCGTGCTTGCTTCAGTAACAATAACAACGATATAACAATGATCACAGACGATAATAACGAGACAAAAAACACCGACAAACAAGCAAAAAAAAAAAAAAAAAAAAAAAAAGGTTGACTGAAACCAAACCAAAAGAAGAAAGCGAAACTGAATCACTGATCACTGTGTATGGAAATGTACGACACGCAATCGCTCAGAAGATGAGTCACACTAGAGGTTCTCTTTCGACATGAGTCATCGAATCCAGCCGTGGAAGGAATCTCGTTCGCTGGTAGATGATTCAATCCGGATTTGGCGGGCCTCAGTCGCTGTTTTTGGTCAGAATACTCAGATGCCCGCCAGAGCACCGATTGTCTTGAGCGGTGAGTTTCGAGATTTCGATTTTAACAGTGTTATTGAATGACCGCGATACTCTGCTCAGACTTGTGCTGAAGGTTTGGCTGAAAGAGGTTTTGTTGACTGACTGACGGTGGTTGGTTGCGGTTGGGGTTGGTCGGCCTGTCGCTGCACTTGCACTTGCACTGATCCCAGAGGAAGAGGTCGAGTGCATCCTCGATGCGCTGGCGAGCGAAGGCAGCCCGGCGTCGTGTGTGCCTGCACTCCGAACGCGACTCGCGCTGCTGCTGCGAGAGTTGCGCGAAGGCACCATTCCAAGTCTGATGCACACCATGGACGACGACGATGCCTTTAACGCACCACCAGGCAAAAAGTAGTTGTGTCACAATTTGTGTAGCCTTTTGTTTGCATGATTGAATAAGACACGACGTTGTTCAAACTGTAGTTGAATCTGAGGATTTTTCTTATTGGAAAAAACAAACAACAATACAAAAACACTCACAAGTAGCAAATGCTAGCTGTGAACAGCATTTTGAGCACTCATTGCTTGCCTCAACTGTGGAAGGTAGCGCGCAACGGTAGTGTCGAGATACTCGTTGTTGTCGGCCTCCAAAAACAGCTTCCAGCCAAAATCGTTGTTGTTGCCGCTGATGGTGCCGCGCTTCAACCGCTCATCCCAGTCCTGGTAGCTCTTGGTGTAGTAGTGGTTGATTCGCAGAACGTCGACCTCGCGGATGGCCTTGGCCTCGTGGTCAGAGAAGGTCGTGTACTCGAGCTCGCGGAACTTTTCATCGCACAAGGGCTTGCCGTCGTAAAAGTACAAGCTGTGGGTGTTGTGCAGACCGGCCATCTGCCTTGGGTTGAACAAGACCTTCTTGCCAGTGATGACTTCGTTGCTGCGACGCGTGTACTCTTCCAGGACCAGTCCGGGCGGAGTCGTCGTGTGGTTGTTGGAGCCAAAGTTGAGTCGCCAGGCGGCAACGCCGCCGCATTTGCCGCTACCCACGAACGTGTTCATTAGTGTGAGCAACGACTGCTTGGGCGACGTTGGGAAGAAGAATTCGTCAATGTCAAAGATGCCCATGTAGCGCGTCAGGCATCGGAAGCGCTGGACGCCATCAATGATGCCGACTTTTTGCGTGTTCTGGATGAGATAGCCCGAGATATCGTGCGTCAGAATGGTCGGGAAATCTATCAGCGTGACGAGTCCAGCTCGCATGTACGGAACGAGCACCTCGCGGAAGTTGTCTGTCGAGTTGTTGTTGTACATGAGGAAGTGGTCAAAGCCGACCAGTCTGTGGAACTCTATCCACTCCTTGAGGTACTTGTCTGCGTCTCGGAAGATGGCGAACGCCGTGAGCTGGTACTGGAATCTGCTCGACTCGTAGCACTTGAAGTCGCGCGACGGCATCGGCGTCCCGTAGACGGCGTGGAAGAGGGCCTCGCTCTGGTCAATCGGGTGCAAGCGGTCGCTCGACGCCATCTGGAGCAGCCACCAGAACACGCCAAACACAACCAGCAGCACAATGACAATGCGGATGCGCCGCGCTATCGGCGAGTTGGTGCTCGGTGCGCCCCACCGCCGCAGCACTTGGCGCAGGTCGGTAGGCATCAGAACGGATGACGTTGAAGTCGCGCCTCAACAAGTACTATCGGTCTGTGTGTTGATGTCGTGATATGCCAGAAGAATGGAGCGTTTTTTTGTGTGTACGTGTTCCGTTCTATCCTATGAGCGTCAAATCGGCAGTGTTGCGAGGGAGGGAGGGTGGAGGTGTGATGTCGAGCGATGATGTGGCCGTAAACGTTGAAGACTGGATGACGCCCCGCCCCAAATGGAGTATGACGACAACAACAAACCAACCATACCAAAAAAAAGGATGAACATAACAGATAGCAACGGTTAGTTGTGGATCGCCAAAGCCAAAGAAACGAGACAAAAAAAAAACAATCCGGAGCAGCCCCGAAAGTACATGTACTGTCGCTGACAGAGAAGACAGATGTGGTTGAACATGCTAGATTGCGAACGGACTTACGTCGGTGGCATGTTGAAAGAGGGAGGTGGGGGTGGGGGTGGGGGTGGGGCGTAACTCTTTCTTTTCCAAACTCTTTTGTATGACTTTCAAAACGAAAACTTCATTCTT